AAGACCATCAAACTAAGGTACAGTCCCTTTGGCAAAACTATAGGTGGGGGGTGTATCCTCTCATCTGGAGGACACCAGATTGTCTGTGTGAGTATCTGCCAATAAATTATTCCTCTGTTCAGTCACTGGAGGTTGCAAATGGTGAAACTATCATTTCTGGGTCATTTATTACATGGAATAGTCCAGATGGTAACAATTCCCTTGCCATTAACTGGTTACTTAGGTAACCAGACAAAGGCCAAAAAAAAAAAAATGCTTGATTCTTTCTGAAGTAGGTCCTGTCAGTTTCTAAAGATGACTAATTATCTCTCATTTTTAAATGAGACAGAGCTTCAAATTCCTGGGTTCCAAGTGACCCTCCAGTCTCGGCCTCCCAAATAGCTGGGACCACAGATACGCACTACTGTACTGGGCTTCTTCTCTCTTAAATGTTATGATAAACTACTGGATTTAAACATACCACTTATTCAGGTTTCAGTTTATTGCAATTATTTATTAACACTTAAGCTGCTTGTCTTGACAGTGTGAGCCTGTTTGCGTTGACACCTCTGACTTAATCCTGAAATGTCAAAGTACACGTTTGACCATTTCTTTGCTCTCTGCTACAAGATGTCCCAGGCTCATCTTGTACATTTCCTGCCTCAGACCTAGGATCAGCCATGTCTCTGATTTATTTTGGTGAGAAACTATATCCCAAGACTATAATCTGGGTCCTAGGGATGCTTACTGCCAAAAAATTACTTATCTCATTCCACCCAAAAGTCTCAGAATACTATCACTAACATGCTTACAAAAACTGCTCTTCTGATGCCCCTCCCCGTCACCCCCCATTTTTCTTTTGTTTGTTTTTGAGATAGGATCTCACTTGTGTAGCCCACAATGGCCTCGAACTCATGATCTTCTTGCCTCAGCTTCCTTTGTAGCTAGGGATTATAGTGTGCACCACCCTGCCCAGCAAGCCTACTGTTTTTAACAGTTGTTCTAGATATACTTTAAAAAAAATTTTTTATTTTATTCATATGTGCATACAATGTTTGGGTCATTTCTCCCCACTTCCCCCGCCCCCTCCCTCTCCCCCTAATCCCCTCACTACCCGGCAGAAACTATTCTGCCCTTATCTCTAGCTTTGTTGAAGAGAGAGTATAAGCAATAACAGGAAGGAACAAGGGTTTTTGCTGGTTGAGATAAGGATAGCTATACAGGGAGTTGACTCACATTGATTTCCTGTGCATGTGTGTTACTTTCTAGGTTAATTCTTCTTGAACTAACCTTTTCTCTAGTTCCTGGTTAGATATACTTCTGCAGAACATGTGGTCATGGTATTACACTCTGCCTCTTTCCCTTTCCACAGGGATGGTGTATTTGTGTCAATGTTTGTCTTGACATTTTTGGTGTCTGAAAGTTATTCTCTGCAGATACTTCAGGAAGGGCTCATGTAAACAACAGTCCCTGTGCTCTTGCACAACTGTTTACATTCTTTATGTTCCAAAGTAAAATTTTAAAACAGCTTTGAAAGTTGGGTGCAGGTGGCACAAACCTGTAATCCTAACTACTTGGGAGGCTGAGATCTGGAGGTTCCAAGTTCATGAGACTCTATCTCAATCAGTAGTGGGGTACAGTGGTGCATGTTTGTCACCCCAGCTATGGCGTGAAGTGTAAAATAGGAGGATTGAAGTCCAGGTCAGCCTGAGCAAAAAGTGAGACCCTATCTCCAAAATAACCAGAGCAAAAGGAGCTGGAGGTGCTCAAGTGGAAGAGTGCCTGCCTAGCAAGTGTGAAGCCCTGAGTTCAAATCCCATTACCACCAAAATAAACCAAAAAAAAAAAAAAAGTCCCCAAACAGTTTTGATACGATATAATTAACACTAACTGCATACATAGAGCAGATCTGGTGAATTTTGACATAGGTACCATGTAAAACCATCATCATGGGCAAGATAGTGAGCATATCCATCACCCCAAAAGTTTGCTGTGGTCCCTCTGTAATTTATCTCTACCCTACAGCCCCAGAGTGGGCAATCGTGGATCTGCTCACTATAGTCTGCATTTTCTAGAATCATAGTATGTACTTTTTTGGACTGATTTTGTTCATTCAACATAATTATTTTAAAATACATCCATCTTATATGTTCCAACAGTTGTTTCTTTTTATTGCTGAGTAGTATTTCTAAAATACAGATATTTTACCATGTGTTCATCCAGTTACCTGTTGATGGATATCTGGATTGTTTGCACTTTAGGCTATCAAAGCTGCTATGAACTTATATGTCTTTGAGTGAACTTGCAAAGTCAATTTTCCTGGTTATATAAATCCTTCACTCACACTTTCTTTCCTCGATTTTTTTGTTTTTATTATTGTACTGGGACTTACAATGTATCTTAAATTCACCCCCTCCATCTGTTTTTATCTCTCCCTGCCCCATTCTTAGAATAGTTTCAACAGGTTCCTTGATTATTTTAAATACATGACTCCTTTTATTTTTTGATGATGGAGCTGGAACCCAGGGCCTTGCCCATGTCAAGCATGTGCTCTATCACCGAGCTTCACCTTTAGGCCCTACTTTTTTAATTCATGAATTACTTTTGAAAAGCCTGATAATCTTTTTTTTTTGCCCAGAGGATTTTTTAAAATTCTTTAAAGCCCACTAATTTTACAAGAATTATGTCTTTTTGTTGGAGATTCTGAGTTGATATTCTTAAGTGTGAAGTATGATCCTGAGTTTCAAATCTTTTTGTTTTACATTAATTAATTTTTGTGGTGTTGGGAATTGAACCAGGGCCTTGTGTATGGTAGGCAAGTGCTCTGTCACTGAGCTGCATCCCAAGCCCTTTTGTGTTTGTTTTCAAGATGGGGACTTGCTATGTAGCCTAGACTGGCCTTGAACTTGGGATCTTCCTGCTTCTGCCTCCTGAATAGTTTGTTTTAATTTTAATAAAGTTTTCTGGAATTACTTTTTGGTGTCTCATTTTGTTCTTCAGGGATTCCTATTATTCAAATATCTGATAGTCCTTGCTTGTCTTTTTCAAAAAAAATTGTCTCCTCTCTTCTGAGTTTCTCTAATTTTGACTTAAACTGCTCTCTCATGTTTTATACTTTAAATGTACCTCTTATCTGGGTGCTGGTGGCTGACATCTGTAATCCTAGCTGCTCAGGAGGCAGAGATCAGGAGGATCGCATTTCAAAGCCAGCCTGGGCAAGTAGTTCCAGAGAGACTATTTTGCGAAAACCCCGGCACAAAAAAGGGACTGACAGAGTGGCTCAAGCAGTACAGCACCTGCCTAGCAAGCAGAAGGCCTTCAGTTTAAGCCTCAATGCCACCAAAAAACCCCAAAACAAACAAACACCAAAACATACCTCTTAGCTTGACTTGAAATAGTAGGTTACAGTTTGGTTCTTTTATGTGGGCATGTCTTTCTAGGGATGTTATTCTGTATATTTTCTTTTTTGTTTTGGGTGTTGCTCAGGACAAGCAAGCACTCTCCCACTGAACAATACTCTAAGCCACTCTTTTTTTCTTACAATCACTTTTTTTTTTTTTAACGACAGGGTCTAACTGTGTAGCCCTGGCTGGCCTTGAACTTGCAATCCTCCTGTCTCAGTCTCTTAAGTGTGCGGGGATTATAGGCATTTTCCACCATGCCCAGTTTTTACAATAACTTTGTATGTGATTTCACTCCAAATACTTTTCTCTTTTTCGTGTGTGTGTGTTGCTGGGGATGGAACCCTGAGCCTTAAGCTTGCTAGGCAAGCACTCTACCAGTGAGGTACACCCCTAACCTATTTCTCAAATATTTTTGATATTGTTTTCCTGGTAAAGTAAGGTCAGAAAAGCCTTTCTAAGTTCAGAACTGACATTTGGGTCCTGGCAGCTTGTTCTAGGACTTTCTTGCTGTGTTGCCTCCCATATTGTTTTAGCATTCTCTTCTGTCCCTCTGTTTTCCTATCTAGTTCGATTTTGATTTCGCTTCTAGCAGTTTCTCCTGAGGCGCAAGCCATGGAGGGTCATGGGTCAGGTTTCTTTAGTCTCCCTCACTGTGGCCCTTTGCCTTCACTCCATACAAGAAAGTGCCACCCCCCCACCCCAGTCATTTCTCTAAAGAAGACATTCAAATGGCCAAAAGCACATAAAAAGATACCCAACATCATCTTTTAAGAAAATGCAAATCAAACAATAAGATACACCTGCCCACCTACTAGGACAACCATAACCAAAAAGACAAGTGTTGGCAAGGATGTGGAGAAATCAGAACCTCACACGCTGCTTGTGGGAGTGTTAAATGGTGCAGGGACTTTGCAAAAAAAAAGTTTCAGTAGTTCCTTAAAAAGTTAAACATACTAGCCAGGTGACTCAGCATTTCATAGATAGGTATATACCCAAAAATTAAATGCAAAAACTTACCCACGAACGTTCATAGCATTTTCTCATAAAAACTGAAAATGCCCATGAGCTGATGGGCAGATAAATGATATGTGCACATTCAAGGTGGACAGTAACCCACCAGAAAAAGGAATGAGGGCTGACACATGCTATGACACGGATGAGTGTTGAAAACCTGGACATCTGCCAGTTCCTTCTTTCACTCACAAGTATTGGTGAAATGACAAGACATATGGGAGGAACTCAGGAAGTATGAGCTTGTCCTGCTGCCCACAATGCTTTTGGACTTTTTCAACATTAAGATCCAGGAACCAGGAGCACAAGGAACTCAATCCCTAGGATGATTTTATAACTCCACTCAGTTCTGGAAGGTCCCAGTGACTACCGCGGCACGTCACCCCAGGGCATCAACAGCAAGGTGGCAGGTGGGTGGGCTGCTGCTGTGCTCCCACTGTCCTGGGCTGAGGGAGGCTCTAGCTGCTGTCCTTCAGAATGAGGAAGTTTCAGCATGTCTGACCTGCAGCCCCTCCCTGGCCCACTGCCCAGCAGGGACACAACCTTGCCTCTCTAGGGAGCCACAGGAGACAGCACCCAGGAGCAGAAGGCAGGGGTTGAACTTACGGTGTGGGCATTGTTGATCTTCTTCACTTCCCACTGGCCTTCCCCAGTGTAGGTCAGTAGGGAGATGGCCCCATCAGAGCTTCCACACGCCAGGATCAAGCCATAGTCATGGGGGGCCCAGCACACAGAGTTCACTGTGGGAAGGAGGGAAGGTGGAGGCACAGTGAATAGACTTTCTTTCCCAGATCTAAATTTACTAAATTCCTAAGAGAACCGCAGGGATCACTGGGGCAGGTGTCATTTTGCCAATTAAAGACACTGAAGTAACATCCATTGCTACTAATATCATTTCATAAAGTTTGTCTTACCAAGAAAGTAGGAAGGACAACTTAAATGAATAAACCTAAGAACCTTGCTGTGCTGTGTTTACTTTTCTCATGTTCCATGGACTGGCTTTTATGTCTTGGGTCTAACCTCAGCTGTGGACAGACTTGCAGAAAAGCCAGTCAAAGCCCACCCACACACAAGAAATGCTGCATGGGGAAGGGGCTAGGCTTTAGCCAGGATAGAGGCTCTTTCTTGCTCTTGGGGCCTGCTGACCCATCTACTCTGCATACCTGAGGAATCGTGTCCCGAGTGCTCGTGAGTCTTCTCCCATGTGCCATTTTCCTCTTTCCAGATAATGACTTTCCGGTCATAGGAGCAGGATGCCAAGATATTGCCATACATAGGATGGGCCCAGGCCACTTGCCACACTGGACCCTCATGACTACAAAGAAAGGGAGTCAGAGATTGCTCAGATGGGCCAGGGACCCACAGTGCTTCTGCCAGAGACCATGGAGCAGAACTAAGTGGCTTCCTTGGCAAGAAGACAACATCTGCCTACGAAGTTCAAAAGGAAGAGCTACAGAATGTCACTGCCCAAGGACACTCTTACTGGATGGTAAGGCACAGGGAGGTTAAGCAATCTGTGGTCATGGAGTCCTTAAAAGAATCAGAACTAAGTCCACTTCCCCATGCCAGTCAGGCAGAAAGCTCACTTGCTCAACTGCAGCCAGAACAACCTGCACCTAATGTCATCAGCATAAATGTTCATCAGGCCACCTGCACCCACAGTGCTCAGTAAATGCTTGTAAATTGAGTCATAAGCCCTCTTTCCTGATGGCTTACCTTCCAAGGCAGCATTGTTTCATTGTTTTACTACTCACTTGTTCAAATGGCATATCCTTTCCTTGTCTCTAATTGTAGCTGCTCACCTGATGACAGATTCTGTCTGAGCACATCCTCCATGCCAGGCCTTATATGGAGACCATTTCTCTGGGCAGGGAAGGCTGCATGCCTCAGTACACAAGAGGCACATGGTTCCTTCAAACCCACTCCCCCATTCAGTAGCTCATGAGTTTAGGCCAGGGTCATATCCTCTCTACCTCTTTATCTGAAAATGGAGATATCAGTAAGACTTCTTTCATAGGGTGATAACTCCCATACAGAGCTTAGAAAAGTGCTTGGTACAAGAAAGAAAGAAAGAAAAAAAAACAAGAAAACCTAATCCCTGCTAGCTGTCAATGCTGCCCCTTGGTCACTCGTCCATCCCGGGCAGGGCTGCAGTCACTGGTCTCTGGTGGGATGAGTGCATTCTAAGTGCCTACAGAGGAACTGCTGATTGATGACTAAGTAGACTAAAACTCTTGACAACCAACAATTTTAACTAAGACAAAAAAAAAAAGGAATGGCTGGCAGAATGGCTCAAGCGGCAAACCCCAGTGACACAAAAAAACAAAAAGCAAATTATAGGGCTGGTGGAATGGCTCAAGTGATAGAGTGCCTACCTAGCAAGCGTGAGGCCCTGAGTTCAAGCCCCAGTACCACTGAAAAGTTTAAACTTTACAGGTAGGCACCAGTGGCTCATGCCTATCAGGAGGATCACGGTTTGAAGCCAGCCATGGCAAATAGTTCCAAAGACCCTATCTCAAAAAAAAAAAAAAAAATCACAAAAAAGGGCTGGTGGAATAGCTCAAGGTGTCAAGATGTAGGTCCTGAGTTCAAACCCCAGCACTTGCAAAAATAAATAATGGCCAAAAAAAATGGAGGTGTGACCTTTTTTTTAAAATCCCCCCAGTATTTTGCATCCTCTGAGCTTAAGAAGACAGACAGCAGAAGGATCAGCCCCGCCAGTCCAGGCAACCAGCCTCACCCAGAGGCTCTGTGCAGCGTGGGCGCCTGCACAGGGACACAGGCATTGGGCTCCTCATTTGATCCTAGGCACTCAGGAAGAGGGAAACTTCCAGGCCCACTTCTCCAAATATGGTATATGGTGACTTGGTTTCTGTTTTCTTTAGTTCATCTGAACACACACTAAGCACCTACTTTACTGGGTTCTTTGTGTTTTGTTTTGTTTTGTTTTTTTTTTTGAAGCATCATCTTGCTATATAGCCTTGGCTGACCTGGAACTCATGATTCTCCTGTCTCAGCCTCCCAAGTGCTAGGATTACAGGTATGCACCACCTTCGGTCTGGGTTCTTACTCTCTCGTACAGTCTGATGAAGGTCATGACCCCTTCTTTGAACAATGCACAAGACATACAACAAGCTTACAAAGAAAATCCCATTGTCTTTAAATGTAGCTCCAAAATGTTTAAAAACAAAACAATGTATAAAGCATACCACATGACGTAATTAACTCCAGTGGCAGGACTAATAACTTCTGTAATTTCAAAGTTGTGATGAGCATAAATAATATTCTGAGATAGCTAAGCAACTGTAACGTAAAGTGAAAATACCTATGAACTCTGTTGGTGACAAAGTAACAGGCACTACAAATACTACTGTAATTTCTCACCCATATCCCAAACTGAAGGATTCCTATACCAAAGTCACAGAAACTAAACAGGTAATGTTGTTCCCCTGCTCCAGTCCACCAAATCCTGAATTCTGAAATCTCCCCCAAAACCCTTGGAATACTGTGCAACCATGTTAAGAGCCCACAGCTATGAGAAAGGCAGCAGACTGAGGGGAAGCGAGAGAGATGTAACTACGATAATGAGCCAGGACCTCCTCAAGATCTTAGGAGGGAAAAGGGAAAAAAATCAAACATCCATACATACTTGCTGAACACCTGCCTTGGGCAAACAGGCAGAACGGGGGATTCATAAACTTCTCACACGCCACTTACAGAACTGCTCTCAAGGTGCACTTCCTATCACACTGACTAAATGTGGACAGGGTAGCGTCACCTCTTTTAAATGTGGTGGTAGCCGCCCACACTGAAGCTTACTGAGAATGGGTGCTGGGTCAGGACCTACGCGCACTCCTTGGGAAGGAGGCGGGTGTGTGTGTGTGTGGGTGTGGAGGGTGTGTGTGTTTGTGTGTGCGTGTGTGTATGGTGTGTGTGTGTGGGGGTGTGTGTGTTTGTGGTGTGTGTATGTGATGTGTGTGGTGTGTGTGTGATGTGTGTGGTGTGTGAGAGATGTGTGTGGTGTGTGTGTGATGTGTGCGGTGTGTGTGTGATGTGTGCGGTGTGTGTGTGATGTGTGCGGTGTGTGTGTGATGTGTGGTGTGTGTGTGATGTGTGTGTGTGTGATGTGTGTGTGTGTGATGTGTGCGGTGTGTGTGTGATGTGTGCGGTGTGTGTGTGATGTGTGCGGTGTGTGTGTGATGTGTGGTGTGTGTGTGTGATGTGTGGTGTGTGTGTGTGTGTGTGTGTGATGTGTGTGGTGTGTGTGTGTGTGTGTGTGTGTGTGATGTGTGTGGTGTATGTGATGTGTGTGGTGTGTGTATGTGATGTGTGTGGTGTGTGTGTGATGTGTGTGGTGTGTGTGAGATGTGTGTGGTGTGTGTGTGATGTGTGTGTGATGTGTGTGGTGTGTGTGTGATGTGTGTGGTGTGTGTGTGGTGTGTGTGTGATGTGTGGTGTGTGTGTGTGATGTGTGTGGTGTGTGTGTGATATGTGTGTGTGTGTGTGATGTGTGTGGTGTGTGTGGTGTGTGTGGTGTGTGTTTGATGTGTGTGGTGTGTGTGTGATGTGTGTAGCAAGGCTCCAGGTCTACAGCTGTACTTGCCTGCAGGTCTTCTAGTGGAACATGGGTGACAGAATTGGCTCTCCTTAATTACATTGATCCTAGGGGACACTGCACTGACATCCTCATGCTGAATGCACTGTGGGGTTGCTCTGAGTCCAGGTTCTCATCCCTTCTTGCCAGGCAGCCTGGGGTGCCCAGCCACTCCTGGAGCCCTACTGAGGGTTGCTCACACTTACCCCCTGAGGTCTGCGATGAGGATCTGCCCTCCATTGCGTACATCAAAGATTTTGACGGACCTGTCCGAGGAGCAGGTGGCTAGGCGGGTGCCATAGTAGTCCATTTGGGCATCATGCTGCAAAGGGAGAACAGCTCAGGGGGCCTGCAGGCTGGTGGGTGAGTGGAGGGGGAAGTCACCAGACAGAGCCTAGTTTGGATCAGAATCTACCTGAAATTAATCTCGAAGAATCATCACCTGAAAGAAGCTAGTATGTCAATGTTCTCTCTTCTCTGCCAGGCACTGTCTTTCTGAAAGGGACAAAAAAAGCCAGACCCAGCTAGTTTTACAGACCTTTCACATGCTCCTTCAAGCCCTGGCTGGGAAGGGAAAAGCTGACCTAGCTCCCTTTTTCTCCTTTTTCCCAGGCCCCACCCAGATCCTAGGCTCAGTGGGCTATTGGGGGGAAGATGTCCTGAGGCTCAGCTCAGCCTCAGAATCCAAGAGTAGTGCTTGAGACCAGTCCACAGACTGAAGTGGTCCCCAATCACATCCTCTCTGATGCACCATGGGCCTGGACATAGGGTTCCATTCAGATAGTTGAGTTCCTCCTTTTACAAAGGCCCCGTGTGCTTTGTGAACATTGTTCATAGAACCCCAGACTCCCCAGCCAAGGAAGCCATGCCTTCGGTGTCACTGTGGCCCCACCATTCAGGAACTGAATTCCTTGGTGCTGAGTGGCTCCTGCCCACAGTTTGTATCCATCAGGTCGAAGGTGTCTCTGAGGTACCATGCCTGCTGTCCCCCAATGGCCTCCACTCCTCCTGCTGGTGGGTGTTGCCTATCCTGAATAGACACTACTTTCCCAGCTGTCCCTCCTTGACGGGGTTTCAGGAAAGATTAGTTGTCGCTCCTGTGGTTACCAGAAGCAATTATGTCCTTTCAAAGGAAACACTGTGTCTACCTCGACATTCCTTTCTTACTTCCTACCCAAGGAAAACACACTGATTCTTCTTAAAAGTCAGTTCTTCTACTGTATAAGGTCTGCTTTCCTGGAAAGCAGACAGTGCAGATGTATTCCAGAGTTCTCCTCCTGCACAGCAAAGCAGAGCGCCAACACACTGTGGGAGGAAGTAGGGCAGAGTACTTGAGACCTAAGGTCTAGCTCCTTAGCTTATCTACCTTGCAACCTTTGACTTTCAGTTTCCCTATCTTTAAATGGGGCTAATGACTACATCTGCTCCAAGGGGCATTATGAAGGTGGAACTATTAGATGAAAAGTATGTATAGGGCCTGACACTTAGACAGCACGCAAAAGTTCACTATTATTTTGTCTTATCTGTTCCTCAAAACAAACCATGCAAGCAGGTAGCACATCCATTAGTTTTCCCATGAGGAAACCCGAGGCTGGCTCACAAAAGACAAGACATTGAGGAGGGAGTCCCAGATTGGATCTTTTACCCACAGGGCCATGCCATCTCCAAGGAGGTACAGTCTCACAGCTGAACCAATTATAACTGAAACCTAGCAACACATACAACTCTGCAGCCAAGCAACTTTTTAGAAACCTAAAAGCAACTGTTGGTAACAAGGCTGGAGGACAGGAATTCTGCATGAAACACTGTACTGATGGACCTGGGTCCTACTCAAAATCTGCCTAGACCGTCTGGCTCTACAGAAAGCAGGTTGAGTTCTTCCTATTGGAGATTTTAACCTCTGGACCGTCCCTGTAGCCCTGACCTAGTAGACTGAGCTCCGTGTTTGCCTCTCAAGAAATACCCTTATGTAATGACTTCAGGTTCAAAGAGCCTGGTCTGCTATCTGTGGTGGTTCTATCTCTGTGGCTGCCCTCTGACATTATACTGAGCGTCTTCTCACTCTCTGATTAACCCCTTTCCAATGGAGCTAAGAAGTGACAGGAGGAGGAAGATAGGGAGGAAAATGACTGTCAACTCTCTGCACCCACTCAGCCTCAATTCCAAAGCAGGTTATTTACCGTGTTGGCCAGACTGAGGGCTCTCTGAGCTACAAACCATTCCCAGGTTCTCCCAGAGAGTGACCAGAATGTCAAAAGTCTTGCCAACTCAAAGGACACTACACAGGGTCCATACCCTTGAGGCTATAGCCTCATTGTCAACTACTGCAAAGTCACACAGTGAATGATCAATAGAAAAGGAGTGATGAATAGTCCAAACCACAAAATGTCTATGCCCAAAGCCCAGGAGGGAGAGCTAAATGAATACTTACAATCATGTCTTCATGGGAGGTGTCCACGGTGTTAATTACTGACACCTAGAACCAAAGACAGCATTGGTAAATTAAATGATGGCACTTAGAACACAATCATACAACTGTTCCTAAACTTGAGGGCATTTGTTCACTCTTTCCCTCCCTCCTTCACTCTAAGTGCCTTCTTTTTATTGAGCACGGGGCCAAAGACTGCAGACAGACAAGAACAAGCAGTTCTTGCCTTTGAGAAGCTTGCACATAGATAACTATCCCATGAAAGATCCATCCTTTCACATGGTTTCATGTACTACAGAAGCCTGAGGTGGATGGGAGTGGTAGACATGCATTGTGCCTTAGATGAAAATTTGTCAAGTAGCACAAGGAAAAAGTACAGTCCAAGCCGAAGGGAACCACGAGCAAAGAGAGAGAGAGAGAGATTCCAAGAGCTTTATATGAGCTCGGGAATGGCAAATAGGCCAGGCTTCCCTCAGAGTGATGGGACCTAGGGCCAATGTTCCTTTTCGAGAGGATAGAGCCTCTGATGTCCCAGTTTATACCTAACAGTGTTAATACCTGACACTTGGAGACCTGATTCAGGTTTCTCCTGAGTGCCTACCTGGGATATAAAGTAGTTGTTACACTAAATTCCTAAACCCAGTGGCCGAGGGCTAAGTAGATGCAGAAGAAAGTTCTGTGAGAGGTAGCTTCATACTGGGTTACAAAAGACCTTAGACCCAGCATTGTTCTCTCAACACTCTTACCCACCAGCCAGGGTTGGTGAATCACGCTTTTGAACAGGTGTTCCTATTTTAAAGGCTCTTAAAGTTCGTCCTCCTGGGCATCTCAAGTTTATCTGGTCATTAAGTAGGGAGAAGCAGCTCTCAAAACCCCTCACCTCTTCAGTCTCATAATGAATTACAAATTAATTTATAATGAGCTGAACACTGAGCACAAGAGGTCCCAACTCTATTAAGCAGCAGAATCAGAGGCCAAAAGAGCACGATTTAACACCAAGCCCCTGTCCAGCAACAACAAAAAGCATGCATTTACTGGATTGTGCCAAGCTCAGTCTGGGGACTTCCAGCCCTGACTTCTCACTCACTCACTGAGGAAGTGCGCGGGGATTATAAACCAGAGATATAAAAGAATTAAAAAAAAAAACCAAAACAAAACCGAAAAACCCTAGGCCCTGCCCCTAACCGAGAGTCATTCAGCCCTTCCACCTGGGGACCCTGTGCCAAGCAATGAACTGTTTGACCATTTCTGTTGGGAGAGGTTGCAAGTGGCTCAAACCCCCGCTCTGCTCAGCGGCAGTGAAAGAGGCTTCGCCTCTCTGCACGTAGGGTTTCTCATCCGCGAAGTGTTTATGACCACACAGCCTACTTCACCAGGCTGAGATTATAAGCAAAATTTGGAACATGCGAAGCACTCGCCATGCACTAGCTCCTATGGGGGAGGGGGTTGGTTTTCTTTTCAATTGCACTGGGAAGAGAAGGACAGGAGAGGGAGGCCAGGCCCGCAGAGTTCCCGGAGCTTTCGCGGCCTCACCTGGCCTCGCGCTCCAAAAGGTCCGCAGGGACAGGGCACCCAAACCTCGAAGCGGGCTGAACGGCCTCAGCACGGAACAAGGGCTGCGAGTGTGGCCCAAACCGTGCAGGGTATTCCAGCCCCAACACTCACCATAGCTGCGTTAGCGGTGACTCCTAGTCTCGGACGTGGCAGCTGCCGGAGGCGCCTAAGAACGGCTCACTTCCGGCACCGGGAGGGCAAGCCGACGGACAATCGTTCAGGAGTTTCCGGGCAGCAACACCCTCTGCTCGCACGAAGGTTCCATGTCTTCCAGAGGCCGCGCCACGCCCTCCCGTGGCCCCACCCCTGTATTTGCAAAACTCGCGAGACCCATGCGCTGGGGTTCTGGTTGCCATGGCGACCCGGAGACAAGGTGGGAGCTGAGGGCCAGTGCTTTGGAATCTGAACTTCTAGTGACTCTCCTATCCTGACTACGCCTTCCCTTTTCCTGAGATCCATAGATGAAAGAATTAGTAACTACATTTTCACCCACCTCTGTGCAGCCTTATGATGAACGCTGTAGGTGATTAATTTTGTTGGGGATGAGTGGACTTAGTGTTTACTAAGGTCTTTCCTTGGACCATCCTGCCCTAAACCACAGGGCCACTGACTTTAGAAACTCCAAACTGCCCCTTCCAAACGGATCCCCTGGGATCCTGTGAATCTGACCCATCAGGTAAGGATGGGGTCTCTGTCAGGCTGGCTGGAGCCCAGCACCCAAACCCCAGTGTTCCCAATCCCAGTACCCTGGCTCCCCAAGGGAGTGCAGCTGAGGTGTCCCCACAAGCACAGGGAGAATTCTGTGCTGCAGGACGGATCCTCCATTACATATGGTCCCACCCTGGGATCCTGGAGATGTTAGAGAGTCTGCCTTGGGGTGGAGCCTCAGCTCCAATCCTTCAGGGTCCTCTGTTGAAACTAGGGGTTAGAACCTAGCTGGAGATAGCCACCCTGAAGATATTAAGACGCAGAGTGTGATGGGCCCATACTTGAAGGGACTTTGAAGAGGGGTCAAGGGAGTGGTGTCTTAACAAAGTGAAGGATCAGGCCTCAGGTGGCAACCCAGCCTTCCACCCACCTCAGTTTTTGAGATTTCTTCCTCCCCGCCCAATGGAGAAATTTCAGAGGTGTGAGGGGGTGGTGCTTAGGGTAGAGCAGGTAAGAAAGCTGAGGGGGACCTCCTGGCATCCTGTTCTTCACAGGGCAGGTTCTGGCCTTGGACCCATAGCTGTGCCATTGATCTTCTGGGTGTTAAAGTCAAGTCACTTCTCTCTGAGCCTCACTTTCCTTCAGTGGAAAATGGGGAGAAAGAACATATTAGATAATCTAAACATGATGCCTGAGGCATAAGTGGAATTAAAGGAATTTCCTCAAGTAAACATTGAAGTTAAAGAAAATGAGGCTTTGGGACAAAAAATGGAACTGTATCTCACTAAGATACTTGCAGGTGGGGCTGAAAGGCATAGTTTTATAGTGGTTTAGATTACCAACTGTGGCTGCAAAATGGTGAGGTATCAATACTGCATTTCCTACTTATTATTCATTGAGGTGTTCTCCCCTCTGCTAAGTGGGGAGTGTAATATAGGTTGAGTGTCTCTTCATTGAAATGCTTGGGACCAGAAGTGTTTCATATTTTGGAATATTTGTATATCAATGATGGGATATCTTCTGATGGTATCCAAATCCAAGCAAAAAAATCATTTATGTTTTATTTGCATCTAATACACATAACCTGACCGTAATTTAGAAAACATTTTAAATACCTTTGTGTATAAAACAAAGTGGTGGTGTGGAATTTTCCACTTGAGGCAGCATGTTGGCCCTCCGTTCTAGGTGTTCAGATTAGGGATGCTCACCCTGTAATACATCCTCTGAAAGTTGCTGTTGGGATTAAATGAGCCTCAGATGTGAAACTGTGTTTGGAAGTTGGTGCTTGATCTGGAGATCAGTTCAACATGAGAGGAACTGGGATTGTGTGCACATAACCCTCAACTTTTGAACCAACATTGAGAAATTTTTCTTGGTCTGGCATATTCTCCTTTTCACTGTACACTTTTTTTATTTGGCAGTACTAGGGTTTGAACTCAGGGCTTCATGTTTGCTAGGCAGGCGCTCTTACCACTTGAGCCACTCTGCCAGCCCCATATTCTCTTTTTCAGTGGACGCTTTGTGGAGGCTTGCAAGGATCAAACTTCTAGGGTGCTAGGCTCCACTCTACATTCCTTCTCCCCAGTATGGGATGCCCTGTGTTCAAATTTCCCATCTCCTGGTTATCCCAGGCTTCAAATCAGGCCATTCTTAGCTTTCCCCAGTTTGTGCCTTCCATCTCCCAGCCACCTTGCCACTCTCCTTTTCCCTTCCCCTCAAAGCCTTCTTCTATGAGATGACCAGCCATTCCTGATGGGCTAATGACTCATATGGAAGTTAAGCTTGCCTCCCTCAGGTGATGGGTGCTCAAAAGGTGTGACCTGTGGAAGGGGAGTGAAGTGCCTTTCCAACCAAGGACTCAACTTCCCCCGAGTTCAAATCCACCACCCAGCTCTTGCGGAAAAAGGCCTTGTGATGGGTACTGTGCCTGAGTTTCCACGTGTGCATTTATTGTTATTGCTCAGTATAGTGTTGAAAAGGCAGACAAATCCCATTAGTTACAAAGAGCACAAGCCAGGATACAGAGAAATAAAGGGTGTACAATAAGAGCACAGTCGCTTCCCAGCTCTGATTGTCCCAGAGACCCCCAGAGCCTGGGCAGCTTGTGGAAGCTGGAGGCGGTACCATTCCCTCACTACTCTATTATAAAAGATGTGCACACAGGGGTTAGCAAAGTGTGACGACCCCCGAGAGGAAAGGCCCGGGAGGGAGAGCACCACAGACATTACAAAACAGACTTAGGGGCTGGAGGGTGACCCAAAACAGCCTTGAATCTCTTGTTTTTGGAGAAGGGAGAAAGGGGAGCTGTCCAGGACCTGGGACCCCACCCCACACACCTTGGGTGGGTGGGGTCTCTATATTAAAATCATGAGGGCTTTATTTCAATCTTGGAAAAGACCTGGGGACTTCCTGTTGTGTGATTGTGACCTTGGCTCTGGAAGGCACCAAAGACTTCAAGAAGTGGCCCCTCCTGCCAGATGCTCTAAGAGTGGGTTTCAGATGCTGCAACTGAGAGATTTGGGCAGGAGGTTTGCTAGCAGCCTCCTGTAGGTAGAGCAAGGGATGAAGGGACTAGGAGTGCTGAGAACATCCAGCAAGGAATGTCTGCATTCCAAAAGTGCTGAAATTCTGAGTTAAAGAACAAGAGGTGTGGTGAACCCCCTTCCCAAAACCAAACAAAATACAGTAACCAAAAGTCAGAAAAAGACTAGCTGCACTAGCTGGCTCTCCTGGCCTTGAATCTGGGGAGACTTTTTTTTTCCCGTCTGGACAGGGGCGGATGAAAGGTGCACCCAGGACAGCCATAATAGGTGTCTAAGGTTGGGTGGGAGCTTGGTGTCCTCTTCTGACAACTCTACAGCTTATGGGACAGGTGAAATGATGGTCAGGGCCCAGATCTGGGGTGGCAGAAGGGCAGAGGGTAGGGAATTTGGCAAAATTTTAACATTTGTTCAGAAGAAACAGATGTGAGAGAATAACTGGGAAATTTTGTAAAAGAAGAATGAAGGGGGTTTGTCCCACTACATAATAAAACATTCTACAGTGACAATTATTAAAACCATGTGGCTGGTGCCACATAGAACAGAAAAGAAATTCAAAAAGTTGGTCCAAGTCTACCTAAGATGTCAGGAAGTGGGGACGGTGACATTTCAATACAGTCAGGGAAAGAATGGCTTTGTGAAGGAGACCCAGGATAAAATGGGTTCTGAGTCCTGGCTCTGGAGCAGTCACTGTCATTGGTCCCATATCAGAAGCAGGGTGTCCTCCCTCTTACAAGGGGCTGTGGCAAGGGGTAGTGGAGCCATGACGGCCACTCCTGACTTTGGGAAAGCTCTGGTTGAGAGGCAGATCAAGCTCTCCCTGCCTTTCTCCAAAGACAGGTAACTCTGGAGTGGCCAGGGTCATTGAATGGTCCCCCTCTGGGCCCTTGACTGTTGGAGTGGGGAGAGAAGTTGGTGACCTTAGACCTCAGACCTGAATCTCCCAACTTTCCCTGGGGTCCTGGCAGAGGGCAGGAAAGAAAGGGGTGTAGCTCCCCCCCAAGAAAAGAGCATACAGCACAGAGAACAGATTTCCTATGTTCTGTTTGATGTTCTTTTTGCCTTTTAGAACACAGACATCAGAACCCCCCTGTGGGAATCAGCAATCAAAAGCATGACCATTGCATAGTATTAAATGAACAGAGACAGTGAGTTCTTTATTTACAATTATTGTCTAGATAAAAAAATTCATAAAAACAGATGGTCATAAATTATTGACCCCCTAGTGGGGTGAACTGCCAAACGTACCCCATGCTGCTAGATATAGGACGCAGAGTGCAAGCTTTGTGTACTACAGTGAGTTTTGACAAACCATTTCCTGTGTGTGTGTGTGTGTGTGTGTATGTGTGCAAGTGTGAGAGTGAGAGGGGTGTGTGTGTGTGTGTGTGTGTGTGTGTGTATGTTTGTGTGTGATCATCCATCATTCCTGACGAGAGATCAATGCTAATGTCAGGCCTCCTTGGTGGCTTCCTCAGCTCCCTATCCCCCAAGCTGACTCCTGTTTGCCTTGTGTCCTGGTTCCAAAAGCACAGGGAGCCTGGTGTGCAAGCACAACTCTCCTGGTGTCATGGAATGAGGTCACAGATACATGACTGAATGAAGGAGGGGGGGATGGAGAAATGCAAGGAAAAAGAAAAAAACTCCAAAAAAACCACCATGTTCCAGGGCTGCCCTGTGTTTCCTGTGTGCAAGGCTCTCCTTCCTCAGAAGTGTGCACGGCCTGGCTTTGGTGATGTTCATACTGGAATCCAACCAGCACATCCGAGGGCTGGTCCCCCGTGGCTGGGATGCAGTTTTCTCTGCTGGGTACATTCAGAGATCTTCATGACATTCAGGGGGTGCTCTTTCACACAGAAGGTCCTCTTTATAGAAAGATTTTGCCAGGTGGGATGGGCTGACTTTGAACCCTAAACCCCTCAAGTTTTTCCACAGCCATCCAGACGTAGGCCCTCCCAGCTGACTATGGCTCTTTTCCCAAGTGGCTCTCATCTTGTGAGTGGAAAAGTTCTCTGGGCCTGGAGTAGGGCAGGGGCCGGGCTGACGCAGAGCGAGTGTGGCAAGGGTCAGCATGGAGAATGGATTTTGCAAGCGAGGCAGAAAGTGTTTGGTTTTCCTCGAAGCCTGGGACATCATCGATCATGGTATTCAAAATGTCTTTTGCACTGTACAAGTTTATGGAAAAAGATTGTATGCTGAAAAGTCTCAAAGCAAACTTTGTATTAAATACAAAAGTTCTTTTATGAAAAAAGCTGAGACCCACAAAGTGCTTAGCAGTTAAGAGGCCGACAGACAATTAAATAAGCTCTTATTAAGTGGGATTACTAGTGCCGTTATTGTCTTGGGGGAAAAAATAGCCACCTTTTCTCACCTGTGATACGGGAGGGTTTCAGAATGGCTTTCTTTCTGGGAAAGCAGGACTTGCTGTTAAAAGGCTACAGTATATATTGTGACTACAGGAAGACAATTTGGTTTTAAAAATCACACTGAATACATCTCAATATACACATTGTAAGGTTCATTCGGATCTAAATAGTGCAGATAAAAAGGCTATTCTTCTTCAAAAATAAAAATAAAAGCAGCAAGCCATACCAACCCTCATCCACTATGCCAACAGCTCATACGCTGCCTTTATAAGGAAATAAACCTCTAAATTACTAACTAAAAAAATCAACACAATAGCATGTATAGTATCTCAACACTACCTCGACCTCTGCACAGACAGAGCCAGAGACGACTTGGTTTTGAAATGCTCTTGGTAAACTCAAGCGAGTTTCATTGAGAGGAAAGTCCTCGACCTGTGCTTTGGAGCCTTCTCTCCTCTTCTCCCTTCGTCTACGGAGCGTTTTGTTCTGTTGAACCCCTCAGGATGGATCCTCGGAGCATTTGACTTCTGCCTGAGCCTCCCACGGTAGTGACATTATTGAACGGAAACAGCAGGCAAAAAATCAGAGCATGGCTATTGTAAAATATCAAGGATGCAATCCAGGGCAAGTGTCTGTTTGGTCGAGCCGTTTTGATAGCATCTCGGCCAGCAGAGTTCTTAGACCGTACAAATAGCCAGAGACGTTATCTACAGGTTTGTAAACAAGTTACATTCATCTTTTAGGACATAAATAAGTTAAAATAGAGCAATTTAAGCAGAAACAAGGCAACATGCCGGCAAAGAAACTTTATAGATCCATGTATATATATTTATATATATATATATATATCTCTACCTATCTATATGGACGTATACAGTCTTGGAGAAGTATACGTTGATATAGATACAAAGAAATGGATATAACCTTGTGAGGTCTATGAAGTTCTTGGGTTCCATTGGTGCAAATCTACAAGGCAAGTTAAGCTCTGCAATTTCAAAAAGTTATTAAATTAATCTATACAACTGAGACCATGCTGCGCAAGCATTTCAAAAATTACAGACCAGTGGATTGGATAAGTAGTCTCAGAAAAGAGTGTTTGCAGTTCCCGCCTAAGAAAACAAGTAATCCTCCTCCCCAGCCCCCCCCCCCCCAAGAACCAACCCAGGGGAGGATGGGAAGTGTCCAGTACATTCATGCGGGAGGACCCTGGCCGGGGCGGGTGCATGGCTGGTCCGTGTCTGGGCGGGAGCCAGGAAGGGCTTGCTCCGGTCGCCTTCCACCCCCCACGCTCCCGGGGGAACCCGGCCCCTTGCGTCGGAGTGAAAAAGGGTTCAAACAGCATCGCAGCCAAAGGGCCTGGGGGTGGAAACATCGCGTTTCTCTCGCTTTTGCGCTCCTGCTGCGGCTCCTCGCCGGGTAGTGAGTCGGGGCCTGGAGGGGTGAGTGCCCGGGAGGCCGGGGCGGCCGGCAGGGTCCTCAGCTAAAGCGACGTCTCCAGGCTGTGGATGGGGCTCCCTGGACTTGAAGAGGTAGCTGATTTGCTCGTGTCTGTCGTCAGGTTGATCCCGCTGTCGATGGCGCTGTTGTTTTTGTTGAGCGATGACGGCGGGCTCGAGTTCTGCTTGAGCGCGGCATCTTCTTCCAGGTCGGTGTCGTCGATGAGGGGGATGTGGGGCTGGGAATCTTCGATCCGGAATTCAGGATGGGCCATGAAGTTATGAATGGAGGTTCGAGACTCAGGCTTTTCTAACCCTTCATAGAGAGAGCTACGGAACGCCTTCACGACGCGGATCTGCAAGGGAAAGCACGGGGCTCAGGCGGTGCCCTGGGGCCGCGGGGCACAGGCGCGGGGCTCGGAGGAGGGCGTGGGGTCGGGGACGGGCGCGGGCGCCGGAGTCCACAGTCGCTGGTGTTACAGGCAGCGACCGGGGGAGGAACGGCAGAGGGGCTCAGGTTATGCATCCATGAGCTGGCTTTTAGTGGCTTTGGTTTGGGTCTGAATTCAGTATTAGGATATAAAGCCCCTCACGGAGGCGCCGGGACACAGCCGTGGAAGGGAGAGCAGAGTCCACTCCTTTGGGCACCCGACCTAATGAGAGACTGAGCCTTGTTAACATCATGGCAGAGGTTTGACCATGCAGAGGGGATTAGGGCGGGGTGGGGGAAGAAATAGGAAAGAGGAGAGGCTAGTTTTAAACAAATTAATCTTAAACAAACAAACAAACAAAACCACACAGTTAAACCACATTGAACAGGTAATGTGTCACACAGAAAAGAGACAGAAAGGATGAGGTGGGATGAAAGAAGACACACAAGGGCCAAACAGAAAGACACATCAAACCAAGGCAGCAAAGCAAACCAAAGCCAACTCAGGGCTTTCTGAGGTGCAGAGCAGAGGCAGCCAGAAAGCACAGAGGAGCCCGCAGATGTGACATCCAGCGGTGGGAGCATGCCACGGTGGGGTCAGGAGCCACACAGCACACAGACGGACACACGCTACACTTGGAAGCCTGGACAATGTGAACAGAGGTTGTTTGTACCCAGCGTTTCTTTCCTTCATGCATTTGGGAGGTAAACACTCGAGTATAGACTGAAAGCCCTGGCCAGTCATTGGAGCTTGCCTTGGGGTTCCTTGTTTCTTGGGGTATTTTGTTTATTTCTGAATTTGTGTTTTGGAAACACAAAACCAAAAACGTGGCTAGAATCAGATGGCGAAACCCAGCCCCCCAGGGGGGTGGTTCTGGGGTGGTCGTGGAACTGAGCCACAAGACAAGTGAGGTGTTCCATTTCTGGTTGTGAACCATGCATCCGAGCCTCAGTTTTCTCCTCTGAAGAACAGGAGGAAAGGCTGGGGGGTGCATGGCTCAAGTGGTAGAGTGCTTGCCTAGCATGCACAAGACCCTGAGTTCAAATCCCAGGATCACCAAAAAGCAAAAATAAAACGGAGAAGTGGGACTGGATCTGTAAGGCTGGTGGACAGAGCACTGGACTTGACAGAAGGAGCCAATGGAAGGGCATGCCTGCTTCTCTTGCCTTGGCTGTGGTGAGACACACCATCTCTCTGGTTACGCTTTGTCCTGCCTCAAGGGTGCAGGGAAGGACCCTCATGTGAAAGAGAGGTGTCCTTTTCTTGGATGCCCGGGAGGGGAAGCATGCCTTTCCTCTCAAGGGACTGATGGGACATGGGACAAAGGCGCCTCTGGCTTTCTTCCCAGTGCTCAGAGCAGAAGGAGGGGTGGAGAAAACAAGACGACCCCAAAGCAGCCAGGGGCAAAGCTTTGGCAGCTGAGGTGTGGGGCTAAGGGGCAGGGCTAGAGTGGGGGGCCTTCTGAAAGGCAGAGGACTGCACAAGATGGTGGTGGAAGGCCTTGAAACCCCAGACTTGAGCTCAGTGAAACCCGGGGTAGCTCTTCTGTGGGGCTTGGTGGGGAAAGCCCTCTTCCATGGAGGTGAAGCTTCTAGGTGATTGCTGGATGATTCTGTCACACTTGAGCGTTCAGTTGCTTGTTTCTAAAGCATGCTCCTCTGCCTGCTAAGTCAGAGTGCAGAGAGAGGAATTCCAACTTGACCTGCACCAGTCACCCTGCTTGGTTTGTGCAAGTGTTTCCCTGCCAATTTTCCTCCTTTGTCGTCAGCCACCACTTATTAGAGCTGACTTCTGCTTGTCTTCTGAAAAGCATCTCTGTCCCTCCTCCTCTCGTGTGCTGGGAACTCCAGAGAACCAGACTGTCTTCGTGCTGGCCCTTTGTGAGATGGTGGTTTTGATTGCCCTGAGCTGTCTTTGCCTCTGATCCCCTATTTGTGGTCCTGTAGAGATTACTAATACTCTCATCTCCTTACAAATGGGCCAGCTGCACCCTTGATTATGTGAAAACAAAATAAAAAAGGTACTACAGGCCCCAGTTCCTCATCTGTAAAATGGGAATAATAACCATGGTGGCACCTGTCCAGCCTAGTGCTCAGTGCTCTCTGAGGCTGACTCGTACTGGTTGGTTGGAACCCTAGTGCATATATGTGGGGGAAGGGGACAGTGGCAGACCCCTGTCATGTGACTGTCAATGCAGAGGGGACAACACACAATGAGATGAGGCCCTCCGCCCTCCCCCGGCATGGAGACAACAGAAAGAATGAACTGCTCTAGACAAGACTGTGGGACAAGACTTTTTGGGACACCCCGCCATGGCCATCCCAAGTCTCCACTTCGGTTCTCTCTGCAGCTGAAATGGAAAAAAAAATAGGGGAAGAAAAAAAATGCTCTCCCCTCCCCCCTCCCTGCCTGCTATAAAGGTGGGCTTTGGGGCAGAAGCTGCGCTTGGGGGAAGCCAGTGGGTGGGAATGCAGAAGTTTGAAGTCATCTGCAGGAGGGGCAGGGAGCCTTGTGCGCTCACTAGGAGAGGTGCAGAGGTCCTGCTGAGATGGGTCCCACATACTCGAATGTTTACCCGGCTTCAAGGAAGCCAAGAGTCTGGGATTAATTCACATTCATTTCAGGCTTAGTCAAGGTTAAAGACTCACAACCTCTTTTAATTTCACTCTCTCTTGCTGAACTCTGTGTCCAGGGTTCTCTAGCCCTCTAGGGAAACAAACACATGGAATATTCAGACAGTGGAGAGGTCTAGGGCCCCCCCAGAAGCAAGCCATTTTCTCACCAACCCAAGGTCATACTAAATTAGTTACCAAACTCTTAAGAGAGGTCCAGCTTTCCTTACTGGTCACTGTGTTTCTTCTCCTGACAGTGCCTGCCCTAGCAGTCTTCAGAACTGGAGTCTGAAGGGGACGTGGGGGGCAGTGGTGCCCTGACTGTCTAGTGAGGTACAGCGACAGAACCCACCTGGGCCTGGCTCAAGAGTCCTGCTTTTGGCTTAGTGGGCTTGAAGGAGTAGGACTTTCACTGACAAACATGGAGCCAGCTATGAACTTGCTAAGAAAAAAGATGGCTTGAGATAAGTTAAGGATCCGAGGGGGATAAGGAGGAGCAGCTGTGAGCTTGGCCTTGGATGAAAAGGCCAAGTAGTATTCTGGGTCACAGTGGGAGGACACGCTTTGCAGTCCTTGCCAGGCAGGGGGAATCCCTATAGAGAACACCTCTGCCAGCCTCCAAACCTGGGGCTTCTCCCCTTGTGAGGCTGTGGGCCTGGGCACTGGCCCTGGGATGGAAATTCAACCCCTGCAGCTCCAAGTCTGTGGACCTGTCTGGGAAGCGGTGTGGAGTGGTGGGAAAATGAGGGGCCGTGGAGGCTGACCTGTTGCTGCTCCGTCACTGTGTGCTCTTGCCATGTCGGTGTCCTCCATTATGTGAACATATTGGCAGACCCTCCCCTCCCCAGATTCAGTTGTGAGGCGTATGTGAAGTAAAGGAACTGAGCACTGCTCTGGAAACGTCCAGTGGGTTGAGGGATAGGTATTAAAGGAGTGCCACCGAACTCTGGGGAATAGACCGAGTTTTGCATAGCTTGAGTGTGTGCAGGATTCCAGGGCGCTCCTCACATGCTCCTGCCTGCCTGCGGTGTTGTGGAGGGGTGAGGATGTGCTGGGGTCTTTCCTCACCCTGATGTCAGGAGTTAAGAGTCAGCACCCAACACGTTCTGCACTGCCTCCAGGCTCAACTCAATAATGTAGGGGACAGAGGGTTAGCTCCTCCTGGGGGACACAGACCCAGGTGTTTTTGCCTTGGCAGGCACACGACCATCTTCCTCCACTGCAGACCCCCAGGAAGGAGTCCTAGCTCAGAGCGTGGGGCAGCCCTCTCACTCCATCCCACCCACAGGCTCATCTCCTGCCTCCTTGCTACCTGCTGCCCACCTCCCAAAGCACTGTGGTTTCTGCAGGACCTTGCCTAGAGAGTCCTTAGAGTCTTTGGAGACTAGATGAGGTGACATTATAGAAACTATGCAAGCAGAGGATGAGAGGATGTTTAATTAGCATTTGCACTGTGACCATGGTGGCCAAAATGTATATGTGGAAACCAGAGAGGTCATGGTCTCTTCTGAGAGCAAGTGCCCTTAGGAAGGATGGTCAGGTTCTTTTCGAGATCCCATGCCCAAGGAAGGGTCCAGAAGGGACCCTGAATGATGGGCTGGATTCTAGAACACAGAGTAGGGCTCTGGGATTGTTAGGGAGGCATAAGGAGTGGCAAAAAGGGGATGGGTGAGAGTTGTGTGTGACTGGCTCCGGCTCTCTGAGAGAATAGGGCCCAGAACTAGTCAGTCAGCTTTGGTGCAGCCTCTGCCTAGGTACCCTTCTGAAGGCTGCCCCAAAGTTGGGGTCACGTAGAATGATTTATCTGGTTTATAAAGAGATCAGAGATAAGAAGGTGGGCATAAATGGCACATCTTATCTCTGCAGGACAAGCATTGCCCGAGGAATGCTTTACAAATGATGCAAAAGGAAGGGTGAGAGTGAAGTCGCCCAGGCAAGAGAACAGCCGGAACAGTTCCTTCCAGACTGTGAGAGCTGGCATTAGAGCTAAGCAAAGGCAAGATATTCAGGGTGGCATGGGTGCCTAGGAATGTCACATGAGCTGTCGTGGCCAGGGTGAAGTGCCACACTTCAAGAAAGAAGCTGAATCAGGATGGAGAAAGAACTGAGCTTGTGCCCAGAAGTCAGACCCCCCGCAAGTTTTAAGAGCTGTGAGGATGTGAGGGTCACCAACATGGAACATTTAGTGACTGCACTTCAAGACAGCTTGGTGCTGAGAAAGGCCAGAACTTGAGGGGACAAGGAGGGGAAGGTCAGCTGGTGAGGGCCACACACTAAGGTGAGGGCTTTCTGTTCTGAAGGGGGAGTAGGGGTAGGGCTTCATGCTTCCTGCTCTGAGAAAGCCTGGCAGTGGTCTCCTAGTGACAGTCTCTCTTGGAAGCACGGCTCAGATACTGTCTGCTCAAATGCATCTCCGTGTCGTCTTGGCTCACTCTGTGCTAATGAATGAGCACTACTCAGAACCCTTCCTGTCTTCACGCCTGGCAGGACGGCCGCCACAGGACGGTCATGGGACATGAGCACAGACTTCAGCAGCTATTTGGTGGCCTGTGCCTCCTGCCAGAGGGCCACAGTGGAATAGCTCCCGTCCCACACACAGGTCCTTTCCTGCTCAGGGGTAGGGGTGTGTTGTGGGAGTTCTGGTGTTAGATGGGGTAGAGGCACTTTCTGAAGCATCAGAGATGAGGCCTGGAATCTGTTTCTCACCAAGGAAGCTGAAGGCTAGCTGGGTGAACGAACACACCATTCTGTTTGGGAAGACCAGAGCTAGGAGTGCCCTTGCATTCTGGGAGTCAGCTTGACTGAAGACAAAGCAAGGGAGACAGGTGGGAAATACAGATGGATTCCATCTGGGACCTGAAGCCATGGAGAGGTCCAGGAAAGTTCTAGATATGGCTAGAGATGAGTGACCAGGCTAGATGTGGTGGCATGAAGAGATGTGCTTGGCAGGAGGCAGGTGATGGAGAGGTCAGGCTATCCCTTAGACGAGAAGGGCCGGACATCAAAGGTTAGACCTGTTAGGCTAGTTGGCACCCAGATAAGATGCAAGGTGCACCCTACCATTTCCTACCTAGGCCAGTGGAATGGATCAGGTGCCTCTTTCCTTCAAGAAGGGGTCAGAACTTCAGCGTGTTCCACCCTCTGCTGGGAGAGGGGCTTGTAAGGCACCTGATACCATTGTGGGTGTAGGGGAAGGGATTCACGAAGAGGGCAGAGGCTCTGAACTGCTGGGGCTAGGCCTCTGGGAGCAGGATTCATGACTGACTATGACTTCTGACCTGCTGTGACCTCATGGCTCTTGACTCATTTGTGTCCAATCACTAATGGGTGTCTCCTTGACCAGTTCCATCCAGGAACCCTGGATGATGTGACCCCTATCTTGGTTGGCCCCCAATGTGACTGGCTGTGACCCCTGAGGGGCTTCAACCCCTTAACCCATAAAAAACCTTCTGACTTGGCACGATTGTCTCATGGTGAACTCTGACCCTTGCCTTCAGGGACCAGGCTTTTCCTGACAAAGTAGGATCCAAGAGCAATAAGACACACTATGACCCTTGATGACTGTGCTCCCCTTTGGCCTCTGGGATGCTGTGGTGGATTGGAATTGCTTGATCATTGATACTCTTGGACTGACCCGGACCTTGTGGGGTCTGGGTTGTGACCCTAACAACCCCCTACTGGCTGGTTATAACCCAGACCCTGACCCTAACTGACCCTGGTCTTCTGAATGACTATCACCCTGAGACTGGCTATGACTTCCTGAGTCAATGGGACCGTCTTCAGTCGCTAGGACCCTTCATTCCCCTGGGCCTCATAGTGACCAGCTGCCCCCCATGTCCTCTGATGCCCCAGCCCCTTCCCGCCTGCCCGCCCAGAAGCTGGCATTGGTGGCACCAGTGGAGGCGGTAAGGAGTCACACTCACGCCCAGCTGCAGCAGGAGGAAGGCTGGTCGGAGAGGAAAGAGCATTGGGCAACGACACGCGACTAGGGCTAGAGAGATTGGCTACGTCCTGGCTCTGGCTGGTGACGGAGGACTGTCTCCGCAGAGCCCCCTGGAAGGAGGCCCCGCTCTTGAAAGTATTGACTACTTCAATCTGCAACGGAGGAGAGAACGAGACAAGTTGCGAGAAGAACGCACACAACAGCTACACGACTGACGGGCGCAACATCACAGAACAGCCGCAGCCACGGCAACACTGACAACATCACTTAAACCAAAATGAAAATACCACACACGCTCCAAGGCTCGGAAAGACGTCTGCTCAGCTCCGGGCCCATCTGTAGGCCCCAGGGCCCCAGAAGGTCAAGGGTCCAGCCTCTTTCCTGCACTAGTGGCTCGGGGGCCAATGGGCTGGGCTCAGGCTGGCTGGGGTAGAGGTGGTGACGATTGCCCATTGTGAGAGAAGAGAGTGGTACTCAGCTCCCTTGGATCTAGGCATGGAGTCAGAGTGGCATGGTATGGTGGGGGCCCTGGGGTGGATAGACCTTGCTTGGCCCAAATTCCAGCTCTTGTCACTTACTAGCTAGGTGACCTTGGGCAACTCCCCTCTCTGAGTCCCGTCTCTTGTCCTTAAGAAGGGGCAATGCCATTTACCTGGCAGGATTATCTGTAAGTGGCAAAGCACCAGGTCCACATTAGTGCCCGGGAGGAGGCAGGCACCACAGGCGCCCATGCCCACTCAAGAAACTATAGCCTTGCTTCCTCCTGAAATTTATGATTTGCAGGCAGTGACAGCCCCAGGCCGGGCAAGGAGAGCTGCCCAGTCCCTCACAGGAAGTGGGGGCTGCCAGGGTCCTGGTCAGAGCAGGAGAGCCTGGGCCCGTGTCAGGCGACTGGGTCCCTGCCCTGGCGTGGCGTGGCCAGAACAGGGGAGTCATACCCACCTCTCAGGGACTGTGAGGGTGAAAGGAGATGAAGTTTAGGGCAGGGTTCTGTGGGGGAGTGAAACGGGAGCTGTTTGCTACACAGGATGGAAATGAAGTTGCTTGTCCACACCTGGGGACTGATGAGGTCAGGTGGGTGACTCTTTGCAACACTTTCTCAGAGTGTTGGGGAGGGGGGGCTGAAGTTCCAGCTCCCACTCTCCTCTCTTTGGGCAAGAGAACCCTCTCTTGGGTTCCTAGAGCACATCTGTAAGCTACAACACCTGACCGGTGCGAGGATGTGTGCCTGTGTGCGCATGCATGCGTGTGTGTCTTGCACCATACACCAGGTGCCACATGGTGGGTGTGCACTGTGTTCTAGGAAGAAGGCTGGGCAGGTACCGTGCACTTGTGCTCCCCACATGTCACCCTGGCATGCATATGTGTGCCTGTGTATGTGGGGATTATAGCCTTTCCTCTCCAGAGCCTCCTCACACCCGGGGGGAGTCTGAGGCACTACTGGAGACCCTCATGTGCGTGAAAGACGTGCATGGTGAAGGTGCCTCCACTCCCCCACCCCCACCTCAGGGCTCAGAGAGAACCTGGGGCCACCCTGGCTTGCAGCTTCCCTCCAGCCCCTTCTGGTGGCTGCCCTCAGCCACCACAGTCCCCTCCCTTGCCTCAGCCCTCAGCCACCAGTCCCCACTCTCTCAGGAGCTCCCCCTGGGAACATATGATGTCTGTGACCCGACTGCAATTCTTGCCAGGCAGTGAAGGTGGATGGTGTCTTCCGGAGGGGGCTGCTCTGGGTTCCGTAGCAGCCAGAGCTGCTCGAGGAACGAGGGTGTGCAGATGGCTGGTGAGACAGTGGGGGCTGGTCTGGGGCCTGGTAGTGGCCCCACAGGTCCCTCCACAGCCACCCTCTCTTGGTGCCAGAGCTGGCCCTGGGGGGGCCTGCTCACACTTGCTCCATCACCCATTCTCCCCAGCCCTCCCAGCCCAGGAACCTTCCGCACCTGTGTTTGGATTCGGTTCAGGCCCCGGAACCACAGAATCTGACCGCGCCGCAGCTCCCGCTCTGCGTGGTCTATCTCCTCCACATCCTCGTTGAGCTCTTCCTCGGGGATCTCCTCCTTCTGTGTGAGCCGGCCTGCTTCCTTCAGGAACTTGAGTCTGCTTGTGGGGATGGTGGCGATGACCTGCAAGGGATGTGGCCCAGCCAGGTTAGGGCCCCCTTCTTCCCTGACACCCACCCTCCCTCCTTCTCCTCTTACCCACTTACCAAGTCATGGGATCACCTCACTCCTTAACCATTTCAGTCACTCCTTAACTCAACCTTTTCAAGTCCTTATTAATGGGCTTTTAAACACACTCCTTCATCAAGAGTCAAGGAGACGGTGTTTCTTTCCATCTTGGCTTTGAGGAGTTAGACAAATGTGACTTGGTCTTGTGACCTTGGGCAAGTCATTTATCCTCTCTGAGTTGTGGTTTCCCATCTGCAAAGCTGGGGGGCAGCTCTGAGAAGTGTTAGTATTAAGCCCAGTGTTGTGTGAATGTTGTGTGGGAGACCTCAGCCTGTGGCTGGGTCTCAGGTCTCATGGGCTCAATCCCCCTGAGCTTGCTGGGCTCTGGGTGCCCTGGGGGCAGCTAGTCTGGAGCAAAACTGAGGTGGCTCCTTATGGCTATGAGGACAGACATGGGCTCAGCCTCATGGGCTCCCCAGGAGCACTGCCCACTGGTATCAGTCCTAGTCCTCATGAGCCTGTTCCCTGATTAGGGATGCTGAGGGCCCCCTTGGGGGAGGGCCCAGGGTTTTAACATGTCCTGGCCCCAGGGTGTCCAAAAATGGGCAACTTTGATTATCAACTCTCCAAAGTTTACAGAAGAACCTTTTGGATGAAATTAACTTTTTTCTTTTAGTTATATTAGGGGTTGAACTCAGGGCCTTGTGCTTACTAGGCAGGCCCTCTACTTCTTGAGCCATTCTCTCAACCTTGTTTGCTCTGAGTTTTTTTGGGACAGGGTCTCACTTATGCCTGGGCCAGCCTGGACCACAGTCCTCCTCTTTGTACTTCATCTAGCCATTAGTTGAGATGGGGTCTTGCAATCTTTGTGTCCAGGCTGCCCTGGAACTGCATTCCTCCCAATTTCCACCTCCCAAGTAGCTAGAGTTACAGATTCGAACCACTGTACCCAGCCTTCTTTATTTTCTTGTTTACATTTGCCATGTAGCTTTTTTCTCTAGCCGGGGACAGCCCAAAGAGAACAATGTCACAGGCCTATGGAGTCCCTACTGCCTGGGTGTCTAGGTATTTTGGGAACAAAGCCCTTTTGGCCCAGGATTGGCTCTGAACACTTCTCCTAAGTAGTGCCCTGGGTCAGGAGACAGGGCTCCTAATGGTGTGTGTGAGTTTGTGTGTGTGCATATGTCTGAATGCACACATATGCCTGGAACTTGGGCAAATGTAGGGAAGGAACTTAGTGGGAGAATGCTGGAGGAGTCACTAGAGGGCATCTCCAGAGCCAGGGGTGACCTCAGGTACAGCACAGAGTCACATGGCAACATGGCAGCCTTTGTCCCATTCATTCCCTCTGAGCCCCCTATATAGGACTCTGATTGGTGCCTGCAGGCCCAAATGCCACTGACTAATTGCCTCCCCCTCTTCTTTTTTTTTTTTTGCTTTTTGATATGGCCTCACTATATAGCCTAGGCTGGCCTTGAACTCTCAATCTTCCTGCCTCAGCTTCCCCAATGCTGGGATAATAGGTGGACACCACCATGTCTGGTTTATTCTCCCTTTTCAACACAATGGCTTTAGGCTATGACCCTTGGCAGGCCAGAGCATCTATCTGGCTTGCTTATTTATTTATTTATTGGTGAGACTGGAGTTTGAACTCAGGCCTTTGTGCTTGCAAAGCAGGCACTCTACCACTTGAACCATATCGCCAGTCCATTTTGCTCTGGTTACTTTTGGAGGCAGGATCTTGCAAACTATTTGCCTGGGCTGGCCTCAAACCAGGATATTCCTGATCTCAGCCTCCTAAATAGCTAGGATTACAGGTATGAGCCACCAATGCCCAGCTCTAGCTAGCTTTAATAATGTCATACTCATTATATTCATTTTTTTCTTAGTTTCTATTGGGCAAGTAACTGATTTTCTAGTCATGTTAGTCATATAGCATGGCCTTGTGAAATAAATTTAAGTTAAAAACTCCTCTGATGCAAGTGAAAGAAAATATTAAGTAAACAACAGGAGTAGTAATGCATAGAAAAACTCAGAGTACTGGTACTCAATCCCATCGCTCAGGTGTTCAGTGCTGGGAAGGCCTTGCCTGGGATGGGCAGTGTGTCCATAGCAGAGCCAGGACTAATCCTGGGGCTTTAGGCGTCCCCATCTAGTGCTCTTTCCTTTCCTCTACAGCGAGGCTCCACCAGCAACCCACTGCACATACCTGGCCCCAGACAAGCTCTCCTAAGCCGATGAATATACACCACATCCACTGGTCCAGCTGCAGCGGGGAGCAGCTGAAGGGCTTCCCTCCAAACTGCACGATCACTATCTGGAGATCAAAATCAGCAAGAGAGGGAGAGGCCATCAGCTGCTGGTGAGGAAGGCTGGGAAGTCACCACCTAGTCCAGCCAAGGTTAGGTTAGGGGCCAGGCTACCTGGATGGCAAAGGTGCCCAGCACGATGGTGCAGAAGATAGGGTTCCGGAAGATGCCGTCGAAGACGTTCCTCTCACCATGGATCTTGCGGGCGTTGATCTCATTGAAGAGCTGCATCATGACGAAGGTGTTGAAGATGATGGTGTAGTGCTCTGAGGGTGGCGAGTGCAGGGGTGCATTCCTCCCGCTGTCGATCTGGAACATCTTCTCGCCTGCCAACCGAGAGGGCAGGGGCTGGGCTGAGGGTGGAGCCCGGGGACAGTGGGGGAGTTATCTAGACACAGAGGCACACGAGAACACTGGTGGCAGGAGTCCACACCAGGACATGTAACCTGTGCTGCCATCGGCTCGGTGAGTGAATGAAGGCTTAGCAAAACCTTTCTCTGATGGGGGACAAAGACCTTGGGGACTGTTTTCCACCTTCTCTGTGGAAATGTGAGAAAGATGGAATGCAGCGGGGTTGCTAGGTGACACTGCTTATAAAAAGTAACCCTAGACTGGCAAATGTAACTGGGCTGGGTGACAGGAATACCTGTGGGAGGCTGCTATGGTAGAAAAGTGTCTCCCTAAAGGACCATGTGTTAAGAGGCTTAATCCTAACCCTATTGGGAGGTGGAGGAACCTAGTAGGAAGTCTTAGGTCATTGGAGGCACGTCCTTGAAGGGGATAATGGGACCCAAGGACACATCTCTTTGCTTCCTGGTCATGAGGTGAGCAGTTTTGCTCTACCATGTGCTCCTGACATGACGTGCAGCCTCATCACAGGTCCAAAGCAATGGGGCCAATTGATCATGCGCTGGCATACCTCCCCAAAACTGTAAGCCAACATCAACCTTTCCTTGTCTAGGTTAATTATCTCAGGAATTTCATTAGGGTGCTAGGAAGCTGTCTAATATAGGAGGGAAAGCTTCCTCCTAGCAGAGTAGTTAGGAGATGGGAAGGAGGCAGTAAGGGGCACTGTGAAAGGAGTTGGCAGTTCTGCAGGCTTGTATGTCCTTCCCCAAAGAAGGCTGCAGGAGGACACCCTTCCCAGGACAAGGAGAAGGTGCCGGATGGGGTCAGAGAAGGAGTTAGTGGCTTTCCCCCAGGGACTCAACTACCATAGGCTGATGTGAGGTAGCTGAACAGCCTTGAATGCTGCTTTGTGTGGAGCTCTGATCAGCAGAAGGAGCCCTGGCCAGGGTCTGACTCTGCTCAAGGCTCCCTGTGTGACACTGAGCACCTTATGTTGCCTCCCTAGGCCTCAGTTTCCCCAGTAGTAAAATAGGCATATGAGAATCTGGACATTGGGTCTGCATATCAGTGCGCTTGCAAGGTGGTGACCGGGCCACCAAAGGGTGTGTGGGGGCTCACCCACGAAGAGCAGGGTGAAGATGAGGGTGAGCTGGTAGACAGCGTGGCCTAGGATGTTCTTCATCATGGTCCGCGAGATGAGCGGCTTGTTGCGGCCGTATGGCTTCCTCAGAAGCAGGGTCTCAGTGGGTGGCTCAGTGGCCAGCGCCAGGGAAGCGAATGTGTCCATGATGAGGTTTACCCAGAGCATCTGCACAGCCTTCAGAGGGGAGTCCTGGGGACAGTGGCCCGGGGAGAGGAGTGTCACAGGGAGCAGCTGCTGCTGCTACAAAGTGTGGGGTGGGCGCCCTACAGGGTCTCAGCAGGTTGCTGCTAGAGGCAGGGGCTACCCTGCCCTTGGGCTCCCTTGAGTGAGTTCTTGAAGTCTTCTCTGGAGAACAGTGCAGAGCTGTCACTTTATCCTGACCCCAAGGCCTGTGGCCACATCTCACTAGCCTTACTGCTGACCTCAGGCTCCCAGTCACTGTCCCCTCTCTTGAATGGTTCCCTTTCCCCTCTGTGTTCCTGTAGCCCTTCCTCATCCTCTCTCCTGTCCACACATGTCACCTGGCTTTGGGGACCCACTTCTTCCCAACACGGCCCCTCTCCAGCTCAGAACTCTCCCTGTGGCTCCAGTCTTGCCCTTCTGGAAGCGGGTGGAATAGCCTTCCAGGATGCCTACTGACCCTGTAAGCTCAACAGCTCAAGCTAGCTGCTCTCCTGACTTCCGTCCCCTCTCCATGTGGCTCCCAGGCCCCTTTGCTGTGCTCCATCTGCCTGTTCTCTTCCTAGGTATTTCTCCCAGCCCCTCTCCTGACTTCTTTCTACTTCTGCCCTGAAACAGCCACACTCCGGGGGTTTCTTTCCTACTCTTCTGCCTCATGTGCCTCAGGGCCTGCATGCCATCCTCTACCCCCAGTTGAAGGCCTCAGGCAAACCTAAGTCTCCCCATTGGCATTAGCTGGTCTCCAAGAAGTCTTGTGTTACTGCTGCCATGTCATGTCCCTATGCTGCCACTAGAGGGAGCATCATATCCACAGATCAGGAGAGAGGCCTCCCTGAGCAGAAGGGAACCCCAGCCACTCACTAGCTCCCCACCCCTGGGGCTCTGACTCTTAGGCTCTGAGTCTTAGCAGCAGCTACCATGGGAAACCCCACAACACAGAACAAGAAGCAGAAGGGAGCAGCAACCCCTGGGCCATGTGGCTTTTTTTTTTTTTTTTTTTTGTGGTTCTGGGGCTTGAACTCAGAGCCTTCACCTTGAGCCACTCCACCAGCCCTATTTTTTTGTGAAGCAATTTTCAAGATAGGGTCTTGCAGAACTGTTTACCTAGCCTGGCTTAGAACTGTGATCCCCCGATCTCTGCCTTCTGAGTAGCCAGGACCATATGTGTGAGCCACTGGCACCTGGCTCCATGTGGCTCTTGAGGTAGTCTGTACTCTGAGCTTCTAGGGGCTCCAGTGGGCAGGATCTTGTCTGCTCAGGTGGCTTCTGGGAGGGGTTAGGTCTCAGGGATTTTCTGGGCTGAAGGAGCCCCCATCTCCTCCCCAGGCCCAGCTGCCAGCTCCAGGGGAAGGCAGGCTGGGGTGGTGCCAGAGGATTCAGGAGCCAGGGCAGGCCCTTGGCTGTTCTGTCCTCTGAGCCTTGGTTTCTGCCTCTGTAGACTGGGACTCACCCTGGTTCCCACCTCACAGGCTGAGGGGAGGAAGCAGCAAGGTTGTGGACTCTGGTCCTGCTTGTCATAGGCTCCACTAGGCTCAGTGTACAGGCTGCTCAAGAGCCGGAGGTGGCAATATGGACTGAGCCCCCACAGCTCCTGTGCTTCCACCCAGCCTCTCTCCACATACTCCACTCCAGAGCAAAGGCTCCCAGGGCCCTGCAGACTCTGTCCTTAGATGGCCATCTGGTCTTGCCCTGCCTTTGCCCCACCTGTGGCTCTGCTTCTCCTAGCTGCTGGAGCAAGGGCCAGGTGGGGCTGCGGTGCCTGACGCCTCCTGTTTCCTGAACCCCCCCTTAGTCACCCTACCTCTCCAAGCTCATTTCTTTGACTGCATGGGGCTGGGGGCTACACTGAGCTCTGTGACATGGTTCTGGCCCTAGCAGAGGCTCCACTGACTGAAGTGCATTCCTGGTGTTCTGACATAGATAATCTAGGATGCCCTGGGGGCTGGGGCCTGCTCCCTCCCTCCCTCTCTGGTGTGCCTCCGGAGGACCCACCTGTGTGATGCAGGCACCTGTGAAGGCCACGATCACAGCCACCACATTGACTGTCAGCTGGAACTGCAGGAACTTGGAGATGCTGTCATAGACATTGCGGCCCCACATCACTGCCTTCACGATGCTGCTGAAGTTGTCATCGGTCAGGATGATGTCTGAGGCCTCCTTGGCCACATCTGTGCCTGCGATGCCCTGTGGGGACAGGGACAGGAGCCTGGTGGGGCAGCCGGGGGAGGTGAGTGGCTCTCTACTTCTGTCCTCACCACGTTCACATCCTCAGTTCTACAATATCCCCCACCCCTGCCCCAGTGCGCCCAGCACAGTCAGACCACACACCGGGACACACACACACACACACAAACACACACAGAGACCCAGTGCCTTGAGTCTAACCCTCTCCCTCAGGAATCCTTACCCCAGCCCCTTTTCCCCCCACCCATCTCCTCCCTAACCTAAAAATGTTCAGATCTGCCTAGCAGCCACCTTCCACATCTTTCCCAGAAGATCTCTGGGACCAGGCTGGGGCTTAGAGCACTGGATGCACACAAAGTAGTAGTGGGTGGGCTGAGTGTGAACTGGGGGTCCCGCTACTCAGTTGGAGGCTATGTAGTCCAAGCCTCCCAACCCTTGCCTATGAGCTCCTGCAAGGTTCCACCCCAAGCTCCCTGTGAGTTGCTCCTACCATGGCAAAGCCCACGTCGGCCTTCTTGAGTGCAGGCCCATCATTGGTCCCGTCCCCTGTCACAGCCACCACCTGCCGCTGCTCAGTGTGCGTGCTGTCGATGATGCCTGGGGGTGGGAGGGAGGGATCAGACTAGCCCTGATCCTTGGGCACATCTCCTTTCTAACCCTGCCTAGCCAGCCCCTCTCAACAAGACTCTTCCCAGCACCTGCAGGGCTGTGGAGCTCCTTATTGGTCCAGGGTTGGCTGGAGGCCTCCATGGGCAGGGCCCTGCCACACTGTCTTTGCTCTCTGCAGCCCTGGGCCACACTGACAGCCCTACCTAGAAATGTCCCTGGTCCCCTGTGCCAGTTCAGAGGCCCCTCTGCCTCTTCAAGGGTTCCACCATTTGCTCCTTCAGCACCTTCTCCCTGGGAGGGTGGAGTTCATCACTGAAGAGGTTTTGGCTGTGCCATTTGCTGGTGACCCCTGTCCCACTTTTCTGGCCTTGACCTCTCTTTAGACATTCATCCTTAATTAAACATTCAGTGAAGACTGACTGAACAGATGACACATAGACCAGTCATTGGCCAGTGGAAAACTGTGAGTGAAAGGCCTAATTACTGGGGACCTGCAGTTTGTGGGGCTGCCAAGCACACATATCCATGGGCACGACAGAAATTTGAATGTTAACCTTGACATATCCCTGTCATCCCACACATCAAATGCATCACCAAGGCCTCAATTTCTGGCTCCAAAACCCTGCTAAAATCCTTCCTTTGCTCTGTCCCCATCTCCTCTGTCACTGACTTCTCCATGGGCCACATTAACTTGGGGCTCCCCCACAGCAATAGAAGAGCTAGTCTCTAACACGTTCACCTGAACCTGCCCCTCCCCCCAGGGAAAGTGATTCTCTCACTGCCTGCAGCCTCAGGACAGGCACCTTTGCAGCTGTTGGATGTCCTCCTAGTCCTGGCCTTACCACTCTGGCCTCTTCTCTAGCCCCTGGCCACCCCGTCCATGCCTGTGTCCTAAGTGCTGATTGCTGCTGGCCTGCATCCCTGTACAGGCTTCACAGGCCAATGCACTGCTGTCACCCACCTACAGTTTCAGCTCTGAGGCCACTGTCCCCAGGAAGCCTTTCTGATGCCCCAAGAATCCCTGCCCATCTCAAATGGCATCAACACAGCTGTGTGCCTCCCTATGTCAGCACCATCCTGGTCATCCCATGCTGAGAGCAGTGGCCTGTGGAGGGAGGGCATGAGCTCCCTGACATCCCTTCTAGCTGCCTCGCTCAAGGCCCAGATTTGTGCTTGGGCAGAAGCACAAACCCCACCCTCTCCTCCCTGCCCACCATTTTACAGTCCCAGAATGCAGAGACTTGCCAAGGCCACACAGCAGGTCAGTGGCAGAACCAGGACATGGACCAGGGCTGAGTGACTCTGGAAGTGCTTAGCATCTGGCTGCCTAGGTGTAGCAAGTGCCCTCTCTTTGAAGGGAGATGGGGAGGGAGAAGGATTCTGGCTTTTAGCTTTGTTGCTCAGGTTGCTATTCCCAGGATAGCCCACTCCTGAGGTCCTGATCACAGATGTCAGTTGAGGACCTCAGATACCAGGCTAGCTAAGGGTCTCAAACTTGTGAGTTCTGGGGCCAGACTGGTAAGTAAAGTGGGCTGAGGAATCCTGAAGCCTGCCAGACACAGAGAGCAAGGTCTGTATAAAGCAATTCAAATTCAGCATAAAAGAGACACTATACACATTTGAGGGCTCCATCTAGCCTTCCAGCCATGAGTTTGAGACCCCAGACAGGCCCAGTCCCACTGTTTCTTAGAGGAGTTGGAGGCTCAGAAGAGACTCACAGCCTCCTATCTCCTCCTAGTCCTCTGCAGGCCTCCCAGGGCTGTACCAGGAAGACCCCAGCATGTCCCCAGGTCTGGAGAATCTCATGTGGGGCCTCTTCCCTCCTGCAACGAAGCTGCAAGTGCTAGGAAATGAGGCCCAGATGGGCCTGGTTCTGGGCCTCACACTAGTCTTACCTTTGACCAAGGTGTGCTTGTCTGTGGGGGAGGAGCGAGCCAGCACCCGCAGCTTTGGCCAAATCTTGTCTATCCGCTCCTGCTCGATCTGGAGGGGATGAGGGAGGGGAGGTCAGTGGGACTGGGGAGAGAAACTGAAGCCTGGAGAAGGAAAGGGACCCGCATAGAGTCACTGGGCTCTTCGTGGCATGCTGGTGACTTCTGTACAAGCACGCAGGGCCCGTGCCTGCTGGCCTCCCATCTAGCTCATCCCTCTGAGTCCGAATGTGAATGTACCTCCCCCTTCTCGTTGCGGATCCTCCGGTTGAACTCTTTTCCCTCTAGGCACAGGAAGTCCTCCCCAGGATGGATGATGCCACACTTGATGGCAATGGCCCGGGCTGTGTTGATATTGTCACCAGTGACCATGCGGACCGTGATGCCTGCCCGCTGGCACTTGCGGATGGCTTCTGGGACCTGCACAGGAGGATAGGAGCCATGGGGAGGGTGCCACCTCAGGCAGGCCCTCCCTGCCTTCAAGGATTCCAGAATGAGCCCTTCTCCCAGACAGTCCCACTGAAAGAGGACTAGATAACTGACCACAAGATACTGATGGCACATATGGAACACAGGCCACTGTCTCCATTCCATGTCCACGGCAGCCATTAACAATCAATCATGGCACCCTCTGATTAACACTGGTGTGCTCTCAGAATCCTCAGGACAGAGTCCCAGGCAGCCATGACAGTCTATCCTGAGACAAAATCCTAACTACCCGGACCTGGGCAAAGACTTTGGAAAGACCCTAATAAACACCCCTTAGACCTGGACCCAAGTGAGAACACAGAGCATTCAACCACCTACACTTGAACTTGTCCCAGCCTCATTTACAAACTTCAGAATAAATCCCTTCCTGTATTTTCAGGTACTTGGGGAACATTTGCATCTGGGAACGTTTTATTTATAGAATGTGACACGGGTTTAGCATAAACACAAATGAAGATGCTTCATGAAAATAGGGCACTTCACTGGGAGAGTAAGGGTGCCGCCTGCCTTCGCTTTAATGACGGACTGATATCTGGGCCAATCAGGTTCGAGCAGATCCAGCCTCGCCAATAAGGAGGTGGCAACCTCCCCTAGCAGCCTCCCTAGCATTGCTGTGGAGTTATCAACAATTAGAATGTAGAAACTGGCTGGGAGCTGCTGCTGCCCTTCAGATGCAACACGGAACAACTGGACATGTGACTTTTGAACCACAGGCAGTGACAAACAGAACAATAATTAGGTGACATCTTTTCATGAGGGAGAACATGCCAGGGTACACAGAAAGATCAAAGCGTGTTAGGATCTCTGGCTTCAGCCAAGTCTAACTCCTTACTTGTCTTGCACATCGTGGTGACTGGGTGCGCACTCCCATGGCCACCTGGCCAAGCTGAGAGTCTGGGATGTCCCCAAAGGCCCATGTGTTGAAGGCTTGGTCCCCAGGGTGGTGCTATTGGGAGGCGATGAAACTTTAAGAGGTGGGGCCTAGTGGAAGGTCAGGTCTCTGGGGATGTGCTGTTGAAGGGGGTTGTGGGGCCCCATCTTTTCCCTTTCCTCTTCCTCTCATTTCCCAGCTACGATATGAACTGCTTTGCTCTGTCATGTGCTCCCTGCCACCAGGTGCTCCCTTGCTACAGGCCCAAAAGTAACAGGGCCAACTGACCAGGGAATGAAACCGTGCACCAAAACAGATCTTCCCTTTTTAAAAACTGTCTCAATTTAAAAAATTTTAAATGAGATGCATCTCATTACAGTAATAGAAAAATGACTAACATAGCATCCTTTCCTGTTTTTTCCCTTGTGCCCATTCTGTACTGCCTGCCTGGAAGGTCCTCCCAGATCTTACCCATCTTCTACGTGAAATGCTCTCTACTTATGAAGCCATTCTGGATTCCTACAATCTGGTGGGATATTTCCTTAAACTGCCCTCAGCACTTTCTTTGATTGCTCACTCATTCATTCATTCATTCATTTTCACCATTCAACTGCTCTGTGCATTGAAGATCCAGAGATAATTAAGACTCATACCCCAAGGGCATCATCAGTCTGGTTAAAATATGCTTTCTATATAAATAAAATTGCTATAAAGTTTTTGAAAAAGTAGATTCTTTTGCTAAAATTATCCTAGATATTTCTTACTGAGGAAAAGAAGCCAGGAAATGGGGCTTTAAATAAAGGCTTTTAAACATCTGTTGTTTCTGGTGACAGCCACTGTCTGTGACTCCAAGGGCTCTGAACACCCCCGGATAACCCAGAAAATCCCAGACCACTGCTCTCCTGTCAGCTTCATCCATTCTGGCTTCCATCAGTTTCCAGAATGTCTTGGGTGGGGAGTTTGGAGAGTATAGTTTAGGGTGTTCTGGCCTTTGGTGGTCTCCAGGAGGAAGTCAATGTGGAGATTCACCTCTTGACACCTGGGGAAACTGAGAGAGAGGCAAAAACTGCTTTTTTCCTGCTGCAAATGACTCTGAGCATGTCTGAGGACCCAGAGGTGGTTTGGGTAGAGGTGGTTCTTCTGGCCAAGCCTCACCAGGCTAGAGACCCTGTGCAGGTAGCTCACCCAGATAGCTTAAAGCAGTGTGATCAAGAATACTGATTAAAGAGCTGAGCCTTGGAGACTTTGCAAAAACACATCCACCATAGGCAGGGACACTTTTGGAAGGCCACCCACAAAACTAGTGACAGTGGCTGCCTCTAAGGTGGGAACTTGGGGGGGGCATGGCTACTTCACACTGTCTGTGCTTTTGAACTGTCTGAATTTAGTTTCACATGCACAAATTGCCTATCCTAAAAAGCAAGAAATAAAGTATTCACAGGTGCTGGAGAAGCTGAATCAACAGGTCTGAGCATTTATACTTTCAAATAGTATCCCCTACAGTCCTGCTCTGTCCCTCAACTGTGAACACCATAGTTCAACTTCCTCATTTCTCAGATGAGGCTACCTGTGAGAGAGGAGAATGGCAGCAGAGTTTATGTCCCCTATCTGTGCTGTTACAGCTTCTAAATACGCACAGGGGCAAGGCAAGAGATGAGAGAAGGTCACAGACAGGCTGGCACTGACTGGCAGAAGTGGTTCTGGGTCAGAGCTTGGAGGGGAGCTGAGAGGCCCTTGGGCCAACTCCCATTTTGCAGATGAGAAAGACTAAGGCACAGAAAGAGGAAGTGGCTTGTTGGTGGCAAAGTTGGGGCTCCCAACATTCAGTCCTCCCCCTACTTCCCAGGGTCTGTGTCTGAAGCCACTTATTCTGGATGACCATGTTGTCAGCAGAAAGTATGAGAAGCTCCACCCTCTGGCCCTGGGCATGGGGTGCTTTGGCTCCTCTTCTCACCCCTGGACTCAGAACTATTTGCGTTTTCCTTTTTGTGGAAACTGGGCAAAGGGCCTGGAGCAGGAAGGCAGAAAGTCTGGTCTACTCTGGATTCACTCAGCCGTCTACACGGAGACTTTGGGAACAACCCTGTCCCTCTGTGGGCTTCAGCCCATTCATCTGCAAACTGAGGGATGCTGGGAGGTGCGTGGATGAGATCAGCACTTACACCTCCAGTCGGTCCTTTGAGCAGCTACGAAATCAGTTTAGTGAGTGGTGACCAGAATTGAAAAAAAGGAGGAAAGAAATAGAGGAGGACAGAAGCTACTTCAGGGCACCTCATTACTTGATGGAATTCAGTTAGTTAAGTGAGAGCATTGACTGCATCACGACATAAAACGGGTTCCTTATTATTACAGGCCATGGCCGAAGCCATTTTGCACCTGATGTCATTTCCCACATCCTTGATGTTTTTAAGGCTGGGTGCTGAGCCCAGAGCTTAAGGACATGATGCTTGTCCATGAGGCCTGAGCCCATGAGTGGCTGGTAGTGAGCAGCTTAAATAAATGGCAGCCTGCCTGGGGAGGGCTGCAGGCTACAGGGAACATGCATATGGGTGATGGGTGTGGCTGCTGTGCTCCAGGGGCATGGACTACCTTGGCTGCTTTAGCATCTGGCTGGGTAGGAGTAAGAGGCTTCAGTGGGACTATGTGTGTGTGTGTGTATGAGAGAGAAAGAGAGAGAGAGAGAGAGAGAGAGAGAGAGAGAGGCTCAGTGTTGGAGGACTGGGGTTCAAGTCTATTCGTTCTCACTCCTTCAACCTCATCCATTCCACAAACACTCACCAAGCAGCTGTTGAAGGCCAGGTTGTGTGTGCGAGCTGCTACTATCACTGGATCCTGAGTGATGAACCAATTAGGGAGGCACGAAGGGAGGGAGACCCTTATGGCCATCAGCCTCATGCCAGATGCTGTGCTTGTTGCCTGCGTGTGAGTGGTGTGACCCCACAACATTCCAGGAAGGGATTATCCCTAATCTACAGTTAAGGCTCAGCGCGGTGCTGTAACTGACACAATGCTACACAGCTGGCCTTTCTGGTATATGAGCTCACACTTTCACCCCTCTCCTGGAAGTCCATGTCTGCAGCCTCCTGGTTTCTTTGGAACACAGAATCTTGCAGCAATGGGGTTGACCTTGGAAAGCAGCTCCTCTACACACTTTCCCCCCTTTATTGGGGGGTGGGTGGGACTGGGGTTTGAACTCAGGGTTTCACACTTGCAAGCAGGTGCTCTACCACTTGAGCCACATCTCCAGTCCATTTTGCTCTGGTTATTTGTGAGATGGGGGTGTTGCTAACTATTTGCGTGGACTGGCCTCAAACTGTGATCCTCTCAATCTCAGCCTCTTACAGGCGTGAACCACCACCATGGGGTTACAACTTTTCCTTTAAAGAAGAGGAAGCAAAGGCTAGCCACAGGCCTCCAGAGAACACTGCCAGAGATGGTCAGGACATTGAAACTGCCCTTGGGGGATGAAGGGGCTCCTTGGGGTATCCTCACCAAATCTCACAGCCAAGCTAAGTGTGGACCTGTCCAGGCCAGGCCAGGAAAGCAATCCTGGGAGGAAGTGGGAGCGGGTCCCTCCCATGACTGTCCTCAGGCCCTGTACTCTGCTGCTAAGATGGTGGCTGTGCCTGCCCATGGCAGCGTCTTGGAGACTCGAGGCAGCTGCACCTCTCCGCACAACCTCACAGCAACGTGGGTGCCCTGGACCCTGCCAGGTCCCAGCATTGAATCCTGGCTTCCTGCCAGGTGTAGATGGCGCTGAAGGAGACTGGAGAGCTAATGTGTGCCAAGCACCCTGTTAGGGGCACTTCATATACCTATGCCTTTCATCCTTGACAGGGACTGTCACGCTCTCCCTTCTGCTGGGAAATATGAACTGTGATTAACTTTTGAGCCCTGTACCCCTAGATACCTGCTAAAGGTAGATTGCTGCTATGTCACAGGCAAGCTGGCCAGGACACAGTGATTGCTAAACTATACATGCCGGGGGAAACATGTAAAGAAGCAGAGCTTCTGTACAGAAGCTGTACAGAGCTTGAATCTAGGCTTGGTGTTTGAACTTGCTACAAGAGTTCCTGGGTCCAGCTGGGTGAGGCTTCTAAGGTGGGGGTGGTGGAGGTGAGATGAAAAAGCCTTTGGTGACTGAGGGGAGAGCTCAAGGACTGCCCTCCACATAGAGAAATGGCTGCTTGTGGGCTGTGAGTTCTGTGTGTCCTTTGGAGAAGACCAATGTCAAGTGTGGCTAACATTGGCTGTGGGGAGCGTATTATAGAAGCCTATGAGAATTGGACATAAGCACAGCTGTGCTCAATGATCTACAGGCTGAGTTTGGCACGGCCTCAGCCACAGAAGAGAGAAGGCAAAATGCAGCTCAGCTGCTTTTCCTAAATTGTTTATGTTCAGAGAAGTAGGAACTGAGATTTCCCTGTTACAATGTCACACCCCTCCCCAAGAACTGTTGCTCCACCTCCTTGTTTACCACTGGATATAAAAGACTGCTGAAGGAGGATGTGAGGGTTTTGGATGGAGATTTTGATTGGCTGCTACTGCCACTGGCTGTTGTGTGTCTCTGACCGAGAACTTTATAGATAGGCTTTGGAAAAGCTAAGCTACAGAAAAGCTAAAGAGAACGTGGGACAGTGTGAGTCTACAGAGGGACTTTAAGAGTTAAGCTAATGCAGTTTTTAGACATGGCTGCTGTTGTTTGTTTGCAAGTCTGAGGGCCAAGACTTTAAGAGAGATTAAAGAAAACATGGGACAGTGCGAGTTTAAAGCAAGAGACTTTAAAGAATAGAAAAGAAGACTTTAGAAGGAAGGCTTTAAAGATAGAGAAAAGAAGCAGAGGAAAGAGAAGTAAAGGAGCAAAGAGGCTGTTGTGCATCTCCATCTGAGCACCCAGCACACCTGGCCCCAACTTTATGCATGTCTGTCTTCTGTCGTTTATCTTTTCTGCATCTCCTGTCACTCCCCCCCACCCCGTTAGGCCAGTTGGGTTCAGTAGTAACAGGGAACAAGAGAAAGCTTGCTACAATTGGCAAATGTTTGAGTGAAAGCAGGTACAAGGTCCCAGAGGCTGAGATGAGGTGAGCTCTGGCCTCACCCCCTTTCCCTAAGCTCACTGACCCTCAGACCTACCTCAGGCTATGCAGGGTCCTTGATACCTACCCAGCTGACCCTGGGACCTACCTCAGGCCGCACTGGGTCCTCGATGCCCACCACGCAGATACAGGTGAGGTCATTGAGGATGTCATTCTCACTGTCCCAGTCAGGCTCAGGGCTGCTGGGGAAGTCACGGTAGGCCACACAAATAGTACGAAGCCCATCACAAGCCATGGGCTCAATCACCTTCTTCACCATCTCATCCCGGTCACGGGGCCGGAAGACCCTGGGCTCCCCCGCCCCATTGAGGATTTTGCAGCACCTGGGAGAGTGGGAGAGGAATAAGACCTGGCAGAGTTCCCAGGTAGTACTCCTACCTCCAGCCAGCCATCACAGTCACCAGTGCCCACCCAGTCAACCTCCCACAGTGCCTCAGTGCATCCAGCAGGCTCAGGATCTCAGGCAGGGGTGAAATCAGTCAGCCTTCTTGTAATATCTGCTCCAGGCCATTCAGCAAGAACTGTCCCCCTGTGGTATGTGGCATACACTCATAGGGTTTCATCAGGAAAAATCTGTCACAGCTAAAACAGCCTGCGAAGCCATAAACCCTAAGTTCTCCACCTGCCCACACAGCAGAACCACTTGGGGATCGGTTAATAAACACCATGTGTGAGCCCTGTCCTGGGGGTTCCAGTCTAACCAACGGGCTAAGGCCGGGACTCAGTGGTTTATTAAAAAGCTCAGTTGTGGATTCCAATACACAGCGAGGGTGAGAACCATGGCTCCAGCAATTCCTTCAACAGACAGGTGGGGTAACAGAAGCCCAGAGAGGTGAAGTGATTTACTTATTCGCTGGGCTCATTTCTAGCACCTGGAGTCAGAAGAGTCTGGTGAATAAAGAAAATAGCTCCTGTCAACCAACCCTGTGCTAAGGAAAATGAAATAAGGAGACCTAACGTGATCATGGGTAGACTGTCCTGAGCCTTAGGGAGGAGGAAGGGAGGACCCTATAGATATTTTTAAGAGGGTGTAATAGGAAAAGCAGTAGGCAAGGGACCCTAGAGGGCAGTCTTGCTATGTGACCTGAGGGCTAGATGTCCCCTCCAGTACAGTGACACTGCTAAGCCCAGTCTGGCTGGTGGTCAGTGCTGTGGGACCCAGATGTCCAAGCTTGGCCCCCAGCCTATCCTGGCAGCCACTTACTTTTTGAGCACGATCTCTGAAGCGCCCTTGCTGTACATGCGGAAGCTCTCGTCCGGCATCTTGACGACAGTGCTCATAGACTTGCGCACAGAGTTGAAGGTGTACACTTTGTACAGCTTCTCCTCCGGCATCTGGTTACGCACCGGCTCGTAGTCCTGCTTCAGGTCCAGTACGAAGCCCAGCAGGCCGCACTCCGTCTTGTTGCCCACCTGCCGAGGCAGGGCACCTTCTTTTTCTGGGGGCTGTAAAGAGACAAGGGGTGGCTCAGCCCAGGCATGCCTGACCCAGGGGAGCCCCAGCCCTGGCTGTCACCAAGGCTCCAGCACTGCTGCCCAGTGGTCCATGAGGTGGGGGCTGCGACCTCAGTGGGCCCCAACGTTCTCCCTCTACATGGTGTGGGATGCAAATTCCAGCAAGATCAGCTTTTTAAAAATTAGATTTCCAACATAAAAAGATAATGATATAAGAAATGGCTACATACCTACCGTCCTGGTTTTCTTTCTTCTGGCACCACCAGAGTTTTGCCTAGCAAGTGCTCTATCACTTGAGATACATCCCTAGCCCTTTTTGCTTTGGTTTGTCTTTCATATAGGGTCTGGAGATTTTTCCAAGGCCAGCCTTGGGCCACAATCATCCTTCATCTCCCAAGTATTTAGGATTATAGGTGTGTACCACCACACAGGCTCTGCTTTGTAGAATCTTGACAAAAATGCTGTATTTGGTTCAGATTCTTCTTTTTTTAAGAAGTAAAGCATGTTGGTTAAAAGTGAATTCCCTGTGTATATTTCTTCTTGTCTGCATAATTCATCCATCGGTCCAGAATCAACCTCTATCTTAAATTTGGTATTAACCATTATTGTGTATGTTTTAACTTTTTATTTTGAGATAACTGTAGATTCACATGCACCCTTCTTCTGGCTTTCCCCAGTGTTTACCTCTTGCATCACCATTGCAACAGTATCACAACCAGGATAATGACATGAACACAACCAAACTGACATTATTCAGCTTTCAGCAGCTCTGTGTATGCTCGTGTGCGCGTGTATGCATTTAGCCTTGTAAGCCCCACAACTGTCACCAATGTCAAGATACAGGGCAGGTCATCACAAGGGTCCCTGCGCTACTCTTTGACACCCACAGAACTCTGGCCCCCTATAATCTACTCTCCAGCTCCATGCTGTTGTCTTTTCTTTTCTTTTTTTTTGCAGTACAGCGGACGGAATCCAGGTCCTCATGTGTGCTAGACAAGCACTGAGCTATATCTCCAGTCACTTTTGTGATTTTATGCGGAACCATACAGTCTGAGACTGTTGGAGGCTGGCTTTTTCATTCAACACAAGCCCTTTAAGATCTGGGCAAGTGGTTCCATGTGTCAGTAACTCGTTCCTTCTGGTTGCTGAGCAGTATTAAATGGAGTGGGTGGACCGTCCCTTGTGATTTCCTTTGAACCAAATGAAACAAAGATTTCTGTATGTCAAAAAAGGTCAGGTAGTGGCAACGAGATGTGGACGATCCCCATGTCTGTCTGTGCGACGTGTAGTGCTGTTTTGTATGTGGAACATTTCCTATCAGGCAGCTGTGCACCTTCTGCAACTTGCTTTACTCGCGCCACATTCCTTCAGTGAGATGCATTTGTGTTTATGGTTCTAGTTTGCTCCTTCTCACCTGCTGTATACCTTCCATTACACTAACACGCTGAAATTGACTCATCCCTTCTCCTGGTCCCTGGTCTTTTCCTTCTCTCCCCTTGCTCATTTCACACACACTCTTTAGCTCCTGCCTCAGAGACTCGGTGAAACATGCACTGCACCTGCCCACCTCCATGGGGCTGATTGCTGCCTCTGCAGTTCCTTTTGAGAGAGTCCCTCTCCCTTCCCCACCAGACAAACTCTTCCTCCCCTTTTAAAGACCAATCAAATAGGGCCTTTGCCTGTTCATCTCGCATATTCCATTCCTCTCTGGGTTCTCAGGGCTAGCACAGAGCCCAGCACACAGTAGGTGTTTGCTGGATAGCTCAATGCAGCCCAGGTCTGCTGGGAGTGACACAGGCCAGATCAGTACAGGAGGCCTCCATGTGGACATGAAGAGCAGGATTCTCAGGTGGCTGTGGGAAGCACAGATATGCAAGTACACTCACCTCCCTGTGGGCCCCACCTCACAGACCTGCACACACCAACTCAGACCACTTCCTATGCAGCCATTCAGGTGGAGGTGACTTTGGGAGTAGTAAAAGCTGCCCCCGAATCCTGGAAAGACTTGGAAGAGGAATAAAAAGCAATAATCAAGCCTGTGCTCCCTCTACCCCAGGAGTTGTCTGCATGGGTCTCAGTCCAGCCTCTCACCAGGCACTCCCTGGATCCCCATCCTCAGCCCCCTTCCTATTGTTCAAAAGAGCAGCCTGGGAAGGAAGAAGGTGGATTCAAGAAGATGGTAGTGGGTTTTAGCTGCATAGAGACAGGGTGGTTCAATAGGGAATATCCTGGGCTTACCTCTTCCTTCTGCAGTTAGGGCTCAGGTCCAGGGAGTAGACCCAAGTCATGTGGGACACAGACACTGACACACAGTGGCCCTAAGATCCAGGGATGCCCAGGAAGGAAAGAGCTTTTGAATGTAAACATGCCCTCATTCTCCCCACCTGTGAAATGGAGGGGCTGGAGCTGAGAGAAAGATCAACTCTGTTTAAGGAGACCGTGGTGAGGGAGAGAGGCAGATCCTTCGGCAGTGGTTGGGGCTGGGGATGGGCAAGGCATCCATCCAGTGCCTTGGAGGATCCCCACCTCTAGGCTCTTTGAAGGGATTTCATTTGGAAGCAGAGGAGTCTTTGGTACAACTTCCATTTCTGATGCTTTGCTGTTGAGTTGTACTTAAAAACAAATATGTTTATGCAATTTAATAATTAACTTTCTGGTGATTTCCAGAGTTTTATGTATTTTCTACAATAGTTTCCCCCTCTCCACTAATGAAAGAAAATGACGACACAGAGGACTTAAATAAAAATGCCTAATTACTTATTTGCCCAAGAGAGCTGAGCAGTCATGCCTGCAAAACACCCGGCATTTTATTACCCTCTGTGAAATATTTTAATTTTCCTCTAAAAGGATTTCAAACAATCTACGGTTGCAAATGGCAGAGCTGCCTCCTCCGTAATTCAATTTGTTTCTGTGAACTTGAGCTCTGAAATCGCCTACATGCGTTACTAAGTAGCAGGCGCCCTCCCCTTTTCTCTTTTGCCTTTTTTTATCCTGACAAACTCAGAGGTTTTGCTTTTGCTCTACAATTTCCAAGAGGCTTTTTATCTCTATGGCTCCTGCAACGTAAAGGAGTTAAGGCGTTGGTATTGTGCCTGCCTGGCCCATGTGGAGGGAGAAGCAGCAGCTCAGGGATGAAAATGACTTGCTCCTGCTCACAGCCCTGCCAAGGGCCAGGCCTGGGGCTGTTCCAAGCACCCTGGTTCCCCTTCAGAGCTGCAACCGGCACATCTCTCAGTTCAGGAGCTGAGCCCTTTGGGAGTGCTGAGTGCAGTCATGACATGCTGTCCAAAGGGCAATTCATAGCAGCATTGGTCACAATGGCTAAGAGCTAGACGCAATCCTGGCACTCACTGATGGATGAGCTGATAAACAAAACGTGGTCTGTACGTACTATGGAATCCTACTCATTTTTAGAAAGATTTCCTACACGAGCTGCCATACGGATAAACCTTGAGCACATTGTGCTAAGTGAATAAGGCTAGTTGCAAAAGGACAAACTGTATGATTCCACTTGTTTGAGGTCCCGAGAGGAGTCAAGTTCAGAGAGACAGCTGGGCTGTTGCCACCAGGAGCTCAGGAAGTTAGTTACCAACATGGGAAGTTAGTGCTTACTGGAGACAGCATTTCAGTTTCGCAGGATGAGAAGTGTATGGATGGATGATGGTGATTTTTGTACAACAATGAGAAGGTACTTAATGCTACTAAACTGTAGCATTAAAAATGATGAAGATGGGCAAAAACGATCAAATTCAATCGTATGTGCATTTTACCACAATTAAAAAGAGAACTACCCAAACTGGAAACTGCCATGGTTTGGATTATAGATATCCTCCAAAGGCCCATATGTTAAAGGCATGGCTTGGCACCCTGTTTGACACTATTGGGAGATGGTGGAACCTTTGACCTAAGGACTGGGAGGTCCTTAGGTCATTGCGAGTGTGCCTCCAAAGGGGATGAGACCTGGTCTCTTCCTCTTCCTCTCTTTCACTTCCCGGCCATGAGGTAAATGTATTGGCTCTGCCAAGTGCTTCCACCATGAAGTGCTGCCTCATCACAGGCCCAAAGCAAGGGGCTGACTAATCATGTATGGGAACCTCTGAAACTGTGAGCCCAAATAACCTTTTCTCTCTAGAAGCTGATTTGTCTCGGACATTTGTTACACTGACAGGAAACTGACAGATACAATAACAAACCCAGTTTGTTAAAGCCATGCTAACCGTAATGTAATGATTTTCCTAACTCTCTCTCTGGTGGCCTAGCCATCATCCTTTAAGGACAGACATCGGCAGTCCTGGATTACCCAATAACGGCCATGACTGTCTTCCTGAATGTTTTCTCTGCTCACCACCTCACCAGACTCTTTATGTGCATCCTTTCATCACATCCTCACAGCACACCGAGACTTGGCCAGGCAAGGTGGCACTGCTAGGAAGCGGCCAATCTTGGAACTGTCCCCAAGTGTTCCCTGTGGCCCCACAGCACCCACTCCCCTGTAGCACTGAAGATACTCTGTTCAAAGCTAACTGGAGGGACAGGTACAGGGTCTGGAAAGTGAGGGCCATGTGTCTTGCTCATCTCTGCCCCCACCTCTAGCACCAATGAGTGACTTGCTAGTGTTTCTCGAGTGAATTAATGAACAATTTTCTGTCTGTGTGGGGACTGCTGCCTCTTGGTCACCAGGTGGGATGGAATTTTGACAGAATTTGGTCTCTGGAATTGCCATCTAAGGACCTGAGCCACACCAGCAAGCCATAAGATCATCTCATTAGGCTGGGAAGCAGGTCGGTATGTGCCTAGGACAGGAGAAAATGCACCTTCCCAAACTCCCCATGCACTGTTGTGTGTGCTACTGGGGGTGCTGTGTGGTATGAATGTAGCGCGTGTGTGTGTGGTATTTGTTGTATGCTGTGGTAGGAGGATGTGTGTTGCTGTGTAGTGGGTGTGTGGTGTGTATGTGTGGTGTACGTACAGTATGTGTTATGTGTTGTGTG